AAGCAGGCAACAATGGGTAAAGTTCCAACAGAGCAGGAGCAGGGCACGGAATGGAACGGAACCGGTAATGTGCTGGACAATTTGAATGAGTTTTTCATTGCTCATACGCCCTGTGTTATGTTAATTATGGAATACAGCTGCAGCACGCCCATCATCGCTCACTGGCAGTCGGATCACAGCACATCACAAATACACCCAGTAGAACACTCAATTTGTTTTGCCATCGCATAGCTCTTCGCTGCCATGTGGGTACGTGGTATGTGGCCGCAATTCGGATTCCACTAGCAGCTTATGCGATTTAGCCGACAAGACAAATAGTTCCATGTAATTTGCTTGTATGTCAAACGACTCGCATATGTCAAGTGTCAAATGGTCTCCATTTTTCTTATTTTGCCCACCCCCAGCCCCCCTTCTCTTTCTCCGCTTTCCAATCGACAGTGTCGACATGTGCGAGGAGCTGGCAAAGTTTTTCTAGCAATAAATTAATATTACAATGACAATTTCGCCCGCATTCGCATTCGCAGCAAAGCGAACATATTTCATGCTTCGCTTCCATTTCCAATTTTAGTTCCGATTCTGTTTTTCTTTTCTGCTTGTTTTTTTATGCTTGCTGCATGTGTTGCCAATTTCCACTTTCCCCACTCTTCCATGTTCGATTTCCTCCTGATCGACACGCGATCACCTTCTCGTGTCCTTCTGGCTAAAAAAAAATCTTGGCTTAAAGGTGTAAATGCCAAACAGAAAGAAAAAACAAAAGTCTTGGCGGCTGGCTGGCTCTCCATCCGGCTAGCCGGATGTCTGGCCTTTCTGTCTTTCTGTATTAACACTGAAAGGGGAAGTAGCAGCAGCAGTCCAGACACATCGACCTATGGCCGACTGGGCAAAGAAAATATTGTTCTTTCCAGCCCTACAGTCCTTGCGCCCCTGGCCCTGTCTCTGCCACAGCCCCAGCCCCATGGTCATGGCTAATGCCAAAATGTCAAAGCTTAAAGTCCCGGCCTGAGCTCTGGCGCTGCCTCTGACTCTGTCTCTTACACTGACTTTGGTAATTCTGCCGTATTTTAATCAGTCAAGCCAACAGCCGTCAGAAGAAGTAATTAAGTGAGTACGGGGGCGAGGCTCTGGCTAGTAGTTGCTAATTGAATGAATTTACCTCAACTTTATTTGATTTATTAATTCGGCCATCCCTAAAGCTCCCCCCTCGCCCCACAGCCGGTGCTGCCCGAATCGATTCCAATTCCGACTCAGAAGTCCTTTCGATTGCGGTCCTTGGCTCAGTGATAGCCACAGAAAGTTTTGCGTCAGCTTTTATTTACGCAAACCGAAACATATTAAAAATTTACGGCTCGTTTACTGCGATTTGTTCAATTAAGTCGATTCGTTTCCTGCCCCAGTACCAGTTACAGGTTCGTCTCCATCTCCAACTCCTGCCCCTATCCAACCTCAGGGCTATCCTCTGTTCACCATCAAAGTTGGATGGCAACTTGAGTTTGCTCCGTCTGCTTCTCTTGGCTGCCAATTTTAATTTTCTTCAAGTTTATTTGCCGCTCTCCTGTGATTGCTTCAGCCCTTTCAATCCGCTTTCTCCAAGGCTGTCGAGCTCCTCCTCCTCCTGCTCCTTTTTTTAATTTTTTATTGAATTGGCTCTTGTTACTGCTTAGACTTTGGATTGAAATTAAACGAGCGTGGTTTATGGCCGCAGTCGCAGTTTCCGTCGCCGTCTCCGGTAAGGAGTGAAATTTAATCAAGTTATGCAGCAGTGTGGCAAGCAGTGGGGCAGGAAGTGAGGGGAGTGGGATTGCGAGGGCTGGCAGCAGGCAACAAAGAAAACAAGTCTCAAGTGGATGGCTATTGTTTAATCCAGGCAAAACTTTGCCAACTCAAAACTTAATTAAAAAAGAAAAAAAACAACTCAGGCCCATTGATGCAAGCAACCCCGCCCCCGACCCTTCTAGGCACGATCCATAATTACCATTAGTGGAGTACATACATTGTGTAGTCGTGTGTGCCGTGTTGGAGTATTTAGGAAGCCAAAGTGGGAGCTGCCTTTGGCACCTCTTTGATCCCTCGTTGGATATTGGCCCACTGGTCAAAGCTAATGAAAGCCGCGACCGCGAAATTGCGCGTAACTTGGCATAATATTTACCAATATGGTTAATTGCGTATACGCCGTGTGTACAAACGCTGGCTGCACGCAGCCATCTGGAGTGCACTCGAAACTCCAGACACTGCAGAGCTGGAAACTCCAACATCCGACCTGTGACTCTGACACCGCACACTGACCGCAAATATGCAAACAGAATACAACAGGCGAAGGACGAGAATGAGGACGAGTATAGCCAGGAGGCAAGGTGGAGGCACATCAACATAATAATTGTAATAATACAAATGCCGACACTTGCGGACAACAACTGCAACAATGCACACTCCGCACAGACGTAGCCGTGTTTGTATCCGTGTCCGTGTCCATGGCAATATGCCAAATTGTGTGCAGCACCACAACGACATCATCTTCATCACCATCATCATTTTCATCATCATGGAGAACCAGACGCCAACCGAAGAACAAGAGCAAGAACAAGACATCACCGGGTTAATAATGCTGTTGCGTTGCCCCTCAAATGAATTTGCATAAACTTCGGGCCCTGGACACATGAAGGGGATGAGGAAAGGGACGAGGTACCCAGTCGAGTCGCAAATTGAAAGATGCCGTGCTGCCAAAACAAAAAACCAGAGCACGGCAGTGCCATCAGGTGAGCTCTCCCTTCTCCGGCTGCCGCTCCGACTACAAGGCAAGACTATAAGGGTTAAGAAATAGGTTTAGGGGCTGCCACGAAGACAGGATGACTTTATTTGCAATATGGAAATATTTTTCATTACCGTGTCTATGGGCACAACCCCATCGCCGTGCCTCCCTTCCTTCCTCCCTTGCGTCAAACGGCGTCAGTCAAGATGCCAAACTCTGGCTGTCTGTCTATCCGAAAGATGCTCATAGTACGAGTACCGAGTATCTCTGCATCTGCATTGCTGGTGGTATATTCCGGGCTTGTTCTGGCACATTTTATGACAATATTTTTGATATTCCCTGCTAGTCATGTGACAGACACATACCGAAAAGCCACTTATATGTCAATTTTGCAGGCAGACTAAAGCGATGTGAGGCCAACACGGTTCGGTGCTTTAACGTTGTTCAAACAACCGCCAGATTTTAATGAAGTTCAAGCTTAGAGGATACAGTGCCTGTCGATCCTTCAGATCCTTCAGTGAGAAGCCACTGGCCATATGGCCACATTGATATAGGATAACGTGCACTTGAAGCCACTCGACGTGGCTCGCATGTTTGCTCTGGCCTCACGCAACGATGACGGAGCCATCTCTTGGCAGCACTACTATTGGCACTGTCAAATGCGGATGTGGGTCGAGAGTGTGTGTATGTGAGTATGGCAGAGAGAGAGAGAGAGAGAGAGAGAGAGAGAGAGAGAGTGAAAGTTGACGCTTGTGGGAATCGATTTGATAAAGTCATCCAGCAGTCATCTGCTGCCATTCATTCCACTTACCACTGCATACGCTTTTAAAAGCCAGATATATATGTACATATTTATATGTATGTGCGGAATTAGCGCTAATCCGGATGTTTACTCGAGCATCGGATTCCAGATTGTGTTTATGGCACAGGCTCAAATTTAATTACCGTCGCCGAGGAGGTGCTTCTCTAGCGACTTTTAATGTGTTCCATGCAAATACGAATGGTGTTGGCTATAAGCACTCCGGTCTGCTCCATTCCATTCCTTATGCCAATTTCCGGGCATGGACAACAATTACGCGCATTATCCTTTAGACTGGATTTGAGCGCGGACTCGGACCAGGACACGGATCCGGACGATAACAAGCATTTGCTTAAACAAGCATAAATGGGAGATGCTAAGAGGACAGCAGGGATAAAAAACGGAAAACCCGAAGTAGCAATGCTCTACAGGAATCCAAAACTGATTGGCTGCCCATCCAGGAGCTGGATATCCCATATCAAACATCCAATCCTGCCTGTCCCGCCTTAAGACCAAGAATCTGGACTCCTAGAAAGGGTGCAGAAAGTGCTTTGCTCTGCAATTTTAATTTGGCTAAGTAGCAGCCAGTGACAGAAAGCGGGCCCAAGTTGGCGAATACCTTGTTACCCATTCTGGCCGTGGATCGACCCAAGGATATCCCAAGGGATGGGTTGCTACCTTGCAACCCTGCAGAGTCTGAAAAAACGCTAATTTAATTTTAACTTTCTGCAGCCTTTTGCCGGACTTCCTCCCCCCTATCCCAGCTCCGGGTGTGTCTCAGGCGCTGTGTTTGATTTTGTTGTCAGCGACTTTGGCACACTTTCGCATCGCATTAGAGAGCTCAGGCGGGAGAAGGAAATTTAGCGCTGAGACAGAGCCAGAAATGGAGCCAACGCATAAAAGAAGACCCGAAAGAGTAAAAGTAAAATATTTGTCATGCCAGGGAAGTTGCAAGTGAGCAGCGCTGATTGTGGCACTAAAATGAAACGAGTTCTTGTGCGGCGATAAGATTTCACCCTGCCTGCCCCAATGTAATCGGCCCTGAAGTTTTCCATTGCTTTAGACCCAGGTCCAGATCCGCACCCCACTTCCCTCCACTCTCTCGCCTCTCTATCTAATGTTGTTGGCAAACTTTTGTGACTGGCTTTGAAGCAGTTGGCACCTTGGTTCTCTGTTATTTACGCTGCCACGCCTGGGCCCGACAATCAACGGCAATTTGCCTCAGCTCCCCAGGACACGGGACCCCAAAACCCAGCACACAACGTTGACCGAATCCGCATTCGAATTCTTATTCACAAAGCATCCAATAAGCATAACAGTTGTCATCAGGAGTGGGTTTCGTCGTTTCGTGCCGCTGGCTCTCACCTCTAGTGAGGGTGCGGGGCGAGAGGGTGGAGGAGGAGGAGGGGGACGGGGATAGCGTCTGGGAACGGGGGTTGATAGAGGTGCGTTACCAACAAATCGTCGCCAGATGCCGGCGACAATAAAACGTTTTACAATGTAACCAAGGCGAGAAGAACACGCTGCTATCGCCCAAGAGCAAGGAGCACGGTGACTCCTTTCTCTCTCTCTCTGCTTGTGCCACCACCCATGTGGCAGTAACGTGCAACAAAGTTGATAATTGTTTATGGCGACGCCTTCGATTGGACTTTTATGTCTGCCAATACTGAGTAAGGGTGATGACCTACAAGTCCATTCCAGCAATCATTCACACAATGATTGAGTGCCCGTAGAATCCGTATAATCATAGCCCTGTTCATATAAATTACCCCGGCGATAGCAGTCTCAGATAAGCTCTCTCGAACAAAGACCGAGATCCATTGTAGCACACCCATCGATCGGGGCATTGGCTTGACGATGAAACTTGCCTCTATCTGCCGGGTGCCCATCCACGTCAGGGGTATCCTATCCTACCATCCTGCCTGGCTTCATTATATTGAAATTTTAGCATCGTTATTTTGCATAATTTGCGTTTCGCTTGAATGCAGCCACGCCACGCCACCTTGAAGTATTTCTATAACTACCAAGACGTTGAGGCTGATGTGAGACCAGAGTGGGATACGAGTGGAATAGGATACTGAGGGAGTTGTGTGTGACGGTTGTCAACGCTACCTGGGCACATGCGAAACGTGAACTTTGTGGCATCAAGTTAATGATTTTCACTTGTTGGAGCCCCTGCTCTCACATTCTTAGCAAGCAAAGTAATGAAGTTGATTTATTGTATTACAATCCGACTCCGGTTTCTTTGTACCTTCATCCCTCGTTCCTACGTTCCTTGCCTTACCGTTTTCCATTGTTTGAGAGCATTGAACTCTTCCCAATTGAACGATATAAATAGATCTAAATCCGTTGTGGTTTTCACGCCCGGAGAAGATCTGAGAACTGCGCATCTGTCTAGTTCCGTTAGAGCGCAGCACTTCCTTTGCGGCTATAAATAAAAAAACCAGTCGCATCCACAATACAACCCCAACCCCAACACCGATTCCGTCTGCGACTGCGACTCCGATTCTAGAGCGGCAGACACGCGTCTGCGTTCGTCAGCTGATGGAGCTATATATAGAAAATAGTGCCAGGGCCAGGCAGCCACCCAAAAGAGGAAGAGCCCAATCGAACGGACAAAGGGCTTCCATTCAGTGTATCGACGTGCGCGATGGAGTGCAGAGCTATTCCCATTCTTCCGAACTACGCCCAAGCCTGGTTCGTATCGCAGTTTACCCAAGACCCTCTCTCCCTGTCTAGAAGTAATTAAACCATCTTCCGCCTCTTCCGACACAGTGGGGATGTGTATATATCGCCACTTCCACGCAAGAGATCTTTGTGCCACACGCTGTTCGCCTACAGGACTCTGAACGATCCCGTCATCATTTTGATCACCTTGGCCGTAGTCGTCGGCTCCTTCTGTCTGCTGAGCGGCTTCATTCTGCTCTGCGTCGTCTCCAAAGCCTGGCAGGACGAGACCTCCGAGGCTATATTGCTAATGGGTAAGTGCTGCATCCCCTTGCATTCCATTCCATCCCACCCCATCCCGTCCTAATGTATTCATCGGTTGCTTAGGCATTGGTTTCTTCATCACATCCCTGTCCTGTGTATCGTGGAAGCTGACGAGAGCCCAGCGCCTCACCCAGATCGTGGAGGCCATCATTAATCGTGATACGACGGAGGCTGTTTAATTTTAAGCATTAGATGCCCAATTAGTCGGATCTAATTTATTTATATTCACTAAGCAAGAGAACTCTGTGTACCCAAGCTTATTTCATATATTTATTGCAATTATATTTACATCTGGGCGCTACTCCTGCTACTGGGCCACAGTCCGGGTGATCCAGGGAATGAATCTGGTGACGTCCGTGTAGACTGATGTCTGACCCTCCCCCGTCTCTCCCAGCTCCTTGTGGCCACAGTTTTCGGGGCCGTAGCTCACGATGCCGATCTGCACAAAGCGCTGTTTGCTCTTCTTGTACCAGAAGTTGAAGAGCAACGGGCCTCCAGAGTCGCCCTTGCAGCTGTCCTGGAGGGAGGCGCTGACGCAGATCTGGTTCTTGGCGATGGATCTGTTCTGCATAGCGGTGCAGCTGGCGAGGGGCAGGCGGGAGACCCCAGCCTCCATGGGAACATCGGAATCATTCCCATGGGCCGTCTGTCTGCCCCAGCCCGTCACTCGCATAACTTTCGTCTCCAGGATACTCTTTTGCAGCTCTACGTAGAGTGGCAGGCATATGGGATTAATGTGATCTGGCCATAGAGAATCCCACGTTACGACATGATATAGGATTTCCACGTGGAGGAAGCGCTTACCCTTAAACACCACGTCCCTCACCAGCTTGACGAGGGCTATATCATTCTTTTGGGTGAAACTCGAGTATCCCTCGTGCGGGATGATCTTTTCGATGCCAATGTCCTCGTAGGGCAGCTGACAACTTGTCTTCGAGTCCACAATCCTGCAGTCCACCTCAGAGGTAATATTGTGCTCTCCAAGCCTCACTGCCACGCTGCTCAGAGATCAGACTTAAATGATTAGTTGAATGGTTGGACAGAGGCTGAAATCTACTTACGGGAATCCATTGATCATGCAGTGAGCGGCGGTTAGGACGAAGCCTGCTTGCGGGAGGAGCGTTAGGACCAGTGAAACGATTCTTTCAGCGATGCAGGAAATTCTACTTACGTTTCGTGATAAGCGTGGCACCACACTGAAATTGGCCCCTTCCCTGGGTGCCGGGTTCTGTAGCATCATACTTTAGCAGAGCCATCCAAGGTCTCGATCCCATCTTGATTTCGCTGCCGCCAAGCACCTTGAGTCTCAAGAACTTGCCGCATGCCTCCTCAGACTGCTGTAGCAGCTCCAGTCCCGTTCCGTTCACGTGCTCTTCGCAGCAGACGAATGTCTACGGATCGTTGAGTGCACATTCCAAAGAGAATCATCATGTGACTTACCTTTTTGGTTGAGCAGCCAGCGTTTTCCTTGATCCTCGTTTCCTCCTCAGTTAGCGGTAATCCTTTCTTAATTTTCGTAACAAGATCCCTGAAGTAGGCACATTCTCCGAAGTGCTTACACCAGCCAGGCTTGTCCTCAAAGGTTGTGCAGAATAAGGGATCTGCAAGAACGGGGAGTCGGCATGAGTTCCTTTTCATCAGTAGCCCACTTCCAGACCATCGACAGACATTCTCCCCCTGCTCCAAAATGCTCCAACGACACCGACACCAGACACAGACATATCCCCAACAATTGTAGCCCCGTCATTCTCCTTTAGAAGCTACGTTCGGACTGAGCACCAATCAGTCCCGACTGTATGACATACATACATATGTACTATATAATGTTATATACTAGTATATGCACTCGTATCAGCGGATGATAGCGATTCTTAGAGAGAATCTCCGTCTCTATTCATCGCACGCTCTCCTGTAAAGAACATCTTTGTACTACGAGTTCCCACCATATTATAGATCATTGTACAGCCCTTACCCAAGAGCATCCCTATGTGTATTGTATAGCAGCTATGCAGCTGTGGCGTGGCGGGACAGAGGGCAGCTGCAACTGCATAGGGCTGGGGCTGTCGCTAAATGAAAACTTACCTGAAGAAGGCCTGCGCTAGCCGTTCATTTTCAGTTCGAGTCGCTACCTTGCCGAAAGATGCCGCACTTGCAGCGCCTTAACCCGACCTGGGCCAGGCATTCCATACACATCGCAAGAAGCCTCTGGCGCCGCTGTACCCAACTGTCGAGGAGTCCAAAGTTCCAGCGCTACGTGCGGTAAGCGAAAATTCATACATTCTCCCCCCAAGAGCCATCGCCAACTGATTCGATTGGTTCAGATTTCTACAGTCAAACCTGTGCCCCGTCTAGTCCGTGCTGCAGCTGCATTGCTGGAGTGGAGTTTGAGAGAAGATCGGGACTCTTTCAGCGGATGACAGCATCGGCAGCAAACTTTCTGCGATTCTTCCACCAAAAATGCGCAGCATTCGCAGTAATTGTGGCTGCTTTGAGAATCGACGCACGTAGGAGGGGTTGATGGATGCCAAAATTTAGCACACACTGCGCATTATTTATACACCATTATACCCCAAAGAAATGGCCAACGACCTTCACTCACTCCACAGAAATAGATCCACGGGAGCAATGGGATCCGCTGGAAGATTATAAAGACACCTCGTACTCACAATTCGTGAAGCATTTGCAAAAACTGCAATGAGATGGCGAGATGAAGAGGTCTACCTCTTATCGATGCCATGTCAATCACTTGATGATGACAGCGGGATCGAACGGGGCAATACCATAGCCCCGACTGGGAATCTACCCATTCTCGAACAGTATTCTCTTGGGGAAAACACATCCAGACGAGAACGCTGCCAGTGCAATAAATAGTAGGCGCGAGTGTTCATCGGCGTTCAGTCTCATTCTAAGCCTCAGCCCGATCGTGCCGGTACAGCTTTAAACCCGTAGCCCCAGCGAAATACTCTGAAAATGTTCACATCGATCAGATCTCACCAGCATCGCGCCGTCGGCCTGATCTTGCGGGCCCTCGCTGCTGGCAGTCTGTTGGTCCTGATGAGTGTCATCCACCAGGAGAACGACGACTCCGGATCCCACTACATCCACCCGCGGCACGCCATGCAATAGCCCCGACTAGGCCCGTCGCCGTATGGCCCAGACTACTTAATTATACTTGTAATAAGCTTAGGTTAAGTGCAATTAAAGCGTAATCTACAGTTCACAGTTTGTTTCCGGATAGCCGCGCTGATCGTGATTGCGCTCACCTACTGCTTCGGATAGTAAAAGCTGTAGAGATTAACCGGTTGCGGCCAGTGCGACATTACTAATGGCTCACACAGTGAATTTCCCTGATTCACACACCACCTATTTATAGACACAAATGTCGTTCAATTAATGTATATAATTTATGGAGGATGCCGCACTTTTCCGTGTACCAACTAAGTCTCTCCAGTCTGAATGTGTTTATTTATTTAGTTTGTGTCTAAGTAGACACACTTGAAATTCTGACCTCATATTATCGTATATTGAATTAATTTAATCTGTACAGCACTTAATAAAGTTAAACAGCTAAACAAATTTGTTGATTTTTTAAAAATAAATCAAAAAAATGTAGTATGCAAAGTATTATTTTATTTAAAATTCGATAGGTTTGACGCCACCTATCGCTGCCTGACAAGCGACTAATAGAAAGCTACCCTGTCTACGTCACACACACCTTTAGACTTCCTGCAGCTGCGCGTTCTGTAGCAGTGAGCCTTTTGACAGGCAGTGATTTGGCGGTTTCCAGTACTAGCCAGTTACGGCCAAATTTGAATTTAAAAATGTTATATAAATAACAATTTGTGTACCCTCGCTTTTATCTACACTTGGCAGATTTATTTATTTTTCTTTACCATTACCAAAAGGGTATGTAAGCCCAGAAGCCGAAAATGAAATAGTCCACCAATGCCAGCAGTTCTATAACCTAATATTCAAAATTAAAATTCAAAAGAGAAAACAGAACCAATCGATAAAATCATATAATCATACTAACTAGCCGAACTCCAGAGCCGAAGACCATGGGGATCAAATCCAGAAAGTTCGTTTGTATGAACTGCCACATCTATAAGCTTAATGCATTGTTAGTGATGCGACTGAAAATATTTCAGTATCCCTAACTGACAGTGCTACCCATTGTCAAAATGTACTGCCTCGAATGCAAAAAAAAAAAAAAATAAAAATAAAGAATTATTTGATTGAATTTTACAATGAAAACGAAGAAGGTGGCTTTCGTAGACTGGGGCTCATTCGCCGATAAGGTCTCCGAACAGGAATTGGTCGAGTCAATCACCACGAACCAGAACCTCAGGCAGAGCGTGGAGCAGAGTGGATGCATCTCGACGGGACGGTACTCACTCAGGTGAGACTGACGTGTTATCCTTCACATGGGCCACAAGCCCTACGGATGCTACATCTGCGGAAAATATTTCAACCGTGTCGGCAATCGGAACAACCACTTGTACGTGCACGGCATCAATTGGCCCCAACCATCAAACTGTGTGGTGACCTAACAATGACATATCAAGTAAAGAAACCTGTCATTTACTTTACTTCCTTTTTTATTTTGTTTTTATTTTGAGAAAAATATGATATAACGTAACTAAGCAAAGTGTGAAAAATATTAACAGAAGAACTAGAATTGCAGAATAAATTATCGAATTTATATAGAACTCACAGTCATTGACCTGTATCTAATTCCTGGGTCCGCTTCTATGCTTTATTATTCGTATATGTACAAGTGACAACACATACACAATCCGTGGTATCAGTTCTAAGGAACTTAAAATTAAAAATAAATAATAATAAATAAATAATACAAATTAATTGAAAATCAAAAATGCTGATTAACGGCATAGGTTCCCCTTGGTGTATATAAGTGCCCAACACGACTTAGTAGACATCAGTGTGTCCCAGTTCATTGCCTTGAAATGAAGATCATATTAGCTGCTGTTGCTGTGCTCGCTTGCCTGATCCTTTGTCATTCGGGATCTGGACAATTTCTACAGCCAGACTGCGGTGTCGTTCCTAATCATTTTACATTTAGAATAAAGGGGGGCACAGATGCAGCAATAGCCGCCAATCCGTGGATGGCATATTTGTATACGTCCTCAGCTTTCGTATGTGGCGGAACGCTTATCCACAAACGTAAGTCGTTAAACAGTAATAATCCATTTTGGAAAATACATTTTGTTTTTTTGCAGGGTTCGTTCTAACAGCAGCGCATTGCATCTCTCGCGAAATGCCACTGTAAGTACTTTCCTTGCAATTATAGTTGAAATATTGAAATGCTTTTGTTGTACAGAAAGGTTCGCCTGGGAGAGTTCGATGTCTCTAGTACTTCTGACTGCAGCGATTCGCAATGTCTTCCGCCCCATGAAGAATATTCCGTGGAAACGGCCTTTAGGAATCGTCTCTTCACTATGCAACTGGGAAGGCATGACATAGGTCTGCTCCGATTGACCACGGATGTGGAATATAAAGGTGGCCTATGCTATACAATATGAATGCTTTCAATAATCAAAAAATCCTCTCCCGTAGTCCACATTAGACCGATCTGTGTGTTCGTTGACCCTGAATTGCGGTCGTCGGTAGAGGCAATTGAGTCATTTACTGCCACTGGATGGGGTGTGACCGACAGCGGAAAGACAAGCCGAATACTTCAGAGAATAACCATCAACCGGCTCGACCGTAGCAAATGCAATCGCAAATTTCGGCAGACACTGCTACAGAGCCAGATCTGTGCAGGACACCGGCAAGGCGACACATGCAACGGGGACTCTGGCGGCCCATTGATAACATTTTTGAATGGAACCCAGAACCGCTACGTTCAGGTCGGAATTGTCAGTTATGGCAGCGCGAATTGCGATGGTCCGGGTATCTACACAGATGTTTTATACCATGCAGATTGGATCCAGCGCGTCGTGCGAGAAGACGAGATCAAGATCTGATTCAAACTTAAACAAAACAAAAAAAAAAACTATATATGTTACATATGTACTAGACTTTTCAGTTTTAAAAACCTAATCACAGCTATAGGCATCGATTTTTTTTAAACTGAGATCCCAATGTTTTTGTGGCATAAATTTTAACAATGGCGTGGGGCAGTAGGGATCAAAGGAAAGGGATTTCGTGGAACTGTTTAAGGCCTTGATCCGTATCGTAATAGGAGCTTTATGAGAACCATAATCATTAAAATTGCACTTGGCTGAAATTTCTCTTCTTTTGGGGAAAGCACACAATCTGCCCCTGCTTGATCTTTATGGTTACCAAGTTCTGGTTAATTGGACACTAAAATTTGAAATATTGGATTTATTTAATTGGAATCAAATAGCAACTTTTCTATTATTATCTTTATCATTTATTGTCGAGAGAATTTGGTGCTCATTTTGTAAGATCAAAATCTGACCTTATGCTCAAGAAAAGCCATACAATTTTTCGTAGGAAACAAGTTTTCTGGGAATTCAGTGATAACTAGGTGTCTGTTCTGATTAGTATTAATATGAGCGCCCCTCCTGGCTAGATATCAGTGTTCCCCGATTCGCTCAGTCGCAATGAAGAACCTAGTAGCGAGTATATTAATATTAGCTTGCTTGATCGTTTGCCAGTCGGGATCTGCACAATTTCTGGAGCAGAACTGCGGTGTTCGCGCAGGATCGGAAAGTTTGCTGAAGCCGAAAATAATTGACGGCTCTAATGCGGAAATAACTTCGAGTCCCTGGATGGCATATTTGCATACGTCTCCGGACTTTGTGTGTTCCGGGACGCTCATTCACAATCGTTCGTATTTGGAAGCTTGGCACTTTTTGCGCTAGAATAACACTTGGGTTCCTTTACAGAGTTCGTGCTGACTGCTGCGCATTGCATTCGTGATAGAGAAACGCTGTAAGTAGCCATAGCTAGATATAGGAGTACATATAGGATTTCGCTTAAACAGAAAGGTTCGCCTGGGAGACTACAACAGAAGGACAAGTACTGACTGCTCGGAAGCAGAAGCGGGCTGCCTTCCTCCAGCTGAAGAGTATGACGTTGATATGGCCATCAAAAATCGTTTTTACAACAGAAATGTGCATCCGAACGATATAGGACTGCTGCGACTGGCGCGAAAGGTCCAGTTCAAAAGTAAACAAGCACCTCCACAAGCAAAGATCCAGAATTGACGCTGCGATCTCTTTTTTGCAGTGCACATTCGACCAATCTGTCTGATCATGGATCCGAGGGTAACCCCTACGGTGGAGACACTTTCCTGGTTCACTGCCACTGGCTGGGGCAAAACCAGAAGTGGTAGCACCAGCGCCGTTCTTCAGACAATCACCTTGGACCGGTACCGTCGGAACGTGTGCAATGACCAATTCAGAGTATCGCTGGCAACGAATCAGTTCTGTGCCGGACACCGCACTGGCAACCTCTGCAACGGTGACTCCGGCGGGCCCTTGGGTAGAGTGGTAAAGTATCAGGGCCTGGAGCGCTACGTCCAGTTCGGGATTGCCAGCTACACCACCCGGAACTGTGTCGGCCCTTCTGTCTACACGGGTGTGGTCAGTCATGCAGAGTGGATCGCGCGTGTCATAAAGCTGTTCAACAATCCTGCTCCCACCAATAATCTACTATCTAGCCAGAAATTGGAAGGTCAAAAAACTAATCCACTATCCAGAAAGAATTTGGAAGGAGAACGTCCAACCAGTGAGGATTCAGATGCCCAGAAATCGGAAGAAGAAGCTCGCAATAGTACCGATATAGTGGCCCAGAATTCACTTTATTAATTTTTCTGAAAAAATTCCATTTGTACTGCGTTTTAAAACGAGATATATATAATAATATATAATAATAATATAATAAATGTGTCTAGCTAAAAATCTAGCTTTTTATGCCCGCTACTCACTTTTGAATATAGGGTATCTTACATTTGTGGTGAAAGTGGATGTGTGTAACTTCCAGAAGAAAGCGTTTTCGACCCATATATTCTTCTTAGCATCAATAGCTGAGTCGAGAGAGCCATGACTGTCTGTCTGTGGCATCCACAATTTGGAAGATACGAGAAAATTAAGAACGCACTATCATAGAGAATGACCACATCTGCCAGATTGCCGAATCTGGATCAGATCGAATCATTTTTATAACCAAAAGGTACAAATCAATTTGCACTTTGCAACGTTCCCCCTCGTTCTCACCCTCTCTTGCTCAGTACGTTCTCGCCGCAGCAGAGGGGTGACTATACCCGCGAAACAGGGTCAAACACAGGGTAGAACGTCATGGCAACGAGCGCCAGGACACATGACAGGTGTGTCGGCGGAGGTTGGTTGGCTGAGTTTGGGATTTGTTTACTTCGTCTCCACAGCAGGCTAGAGGCCCGGGCAGGAAATGTCAGAATTTGAATAAGAAAATTACTGAAATGAGTTCGCGGAGTGTAATGATCACGGATCTGGACCAGACCGACCAGGAGGAGGGGGTGGCGGAACGCCCGCCCACGCAGCCAAAGAGGAATCGGAAACCGCTGCAGACGCTGTCTGGAAACTTCAGTCGCCGCTCGAGGAGCGTGGAGGTGGAGCAACGCCAGCAGACGACACCCGCCGGGAGAAAGGATCGGAGGGATCGCACGCTCAACGGACTGGTAAGCAGCACCCCAAACCAAACCCAACCCAGCCACGCGCTCATCCCCATATCCGACACAGTTGCAGGCCAAGGACCAGCAGCTGGAGCAGCTGGTGCAGCGCCTTTCCACCCTGCATAAGTACAACGAACAGTTCGCCAAGGAGAACGAGCGGCTGCGCACCGACAGCTCCCAGCTGGAGAGCCGTCTAGCGGTGGCGGAGCAGCAGGTGACCAATTGCGACCGCTGCCAGGAGCTCAACCAGAAGCTGGGCGTCGTTCTTGGGCAGAACAGAACGCTGGTGAACGACGTGGACATGTTAAAGACTCTCGTCTTCCGTTTAAATGTGCAGATCGAGAACTACCAGGATCAGCGCAGGAACGGGGAGAAAGAATCGACGAGCTCGGCAGCGGCAGCCTGCTCCTCAGCCTTCACCGGCTGTCAGCCCCTGCCCACGCACACATTGGGCCCGCTACTGCAGGCCTACGACGAATCCATCCGCGACAAGGACGCTCTCCTGTTGCAGTACAACACAGAGTTCGAGCACTTCACGTGCGAGCTGAAGCGCGCCCTGGAGGATAACACAAAGCTGGTAAGTGACAGCCGTATCTCATACATCCCATATCCATAGGACACTCACCTGATCACTGACCACTGCTCTCTGCTGATGTCCCCTACAGTTGCAGTCCCAGGAGCAACTGCGCCGCGACCTGGGGGGATGGCGGGAAGAGCGTGTCTGCCTCCAGGCGCAGCTGGGCGTTTGCCGCTCAAAGGCCGAGGCGCAAACACGCAAGACCGACCTGGCCAAGGAGAAGCTGGTGGAGGTGATGCACTGCTACGAACAACGGATGCAGACGCTCCTTCTGGACATGGACCATCTGCAGGCGGCCTACGCCCGCACCAAATCGGAGCTTGCAGCCCTTAGGAGCACCGCTGTCCCCAATGCCACAAGCGCACCCAATGCAGCAGCAGGTCCAGTCGAGGTGGAGGCAATGCATCAGTGTCAGACTCTGCTGGAGGAACTGAAGCAGGAGCACGTCAGAGAGCGCTCCTCTCTGCAGGATCAGCTGAAGGCGAGCTCCATGCGGGCCGCCGCCCTTGCCCGCAGCACGGAGAAGGCCAAACACTCTCGGGACCGACTGAAAGCCCGTCTTCGCATGGCCCTGCAGTGGGCCCAGAAGCTGGAGGCGGGCCAGACGGAGATGAGGGAAACCTACGACGCAGTGCGACGCCTTGAGGTGCTCGTCAAGCACAAGGAGTCACAAATGCGCGGCCTGCACGCCCGCAACGTAGAGGAGCTGGACAAGCTGCGTCACAGGCTCGAGCAGAAGGACGAGACTATCCGCACCCTCCTGCGTGGCAAGCTGGAGCGACGCCCTGCCGTAGACTAGACCTGGACTAGACGCATTGACATGGCTAACAATTAAAAATATATAATTTCAATACAAAATACATTAATAACTTAGCGTAAAAAGCTTTCGAAGCACAGCAATGCTCGAGTTGCGTAGAGCATCAGCCGGACTCTACCGGCTCAGCCTCATTGGGAGCCTCTGCTCCTGAGCCGTCACCACCTCCTCCGCCAGCGCACACCACGCAGGCCTTGGGCACCGTCTGCTCTATGTACATGGTGATCCGTTCGAGCACCTCCGGGACGACGCTTCTGAGCAGCTGCTCGTAGCGGGCGGAGCCCAGCTGCGACTGGAGCGCCTGCAGCTGCCACTTGAGGTACTCGGTGAGGGGTATCTTGTAGACGGGATCCTTGAGCACCAGCTGCCGGTGGCGGTCATCGTGGTACGTCTTGGCGGGGTAGCCCTTCGAATGGAAGTCTTCGGTACATAACTGCTGCTGCAACTCGTCCAGTTCGTGCTCGTCGTGGATGACCAGGGAGTCGTAGTAGCGAGGCGTGGTCCTGGCGGCGCCATCCTCCGCCACCGCGAATTGCTTATCCATGACCTCGCCGAGCGTCTCGTCCACCAGCTGGAGGATGTGTGGCAGCCGGGCTAGCAGCAGTTCGTTGTTTCCGAAAATCGAGGCGAAGGCCAGGCAGAAGAGCTTTCTCTTCTCGGCGTGAGTGTCCGGCACCATGGGAAACATCTCGATCCACACGTCCAGGATGCGGGCCAGAGCGTCCGTGTGGGGCAGTTGCTGCACCACCGACATGAATACGGCTTGGTCGATGAGCAGCGTCCTAGCCACAATGGTTAGGTACCAGCCCATGGTCATGGGATACTCCTGCTTGAGGCAGACCTGCTGGAAGACGAAGGGCAGAGCGGGGCGCACCAATCGCAATCCCATCGACGCGTCCGTCTTGAGGCAGGTCTCGAAGATCCGCAGCATGGCGATGATGCCCTCAACGCGGATGTCCTCGAAGGAACGTACACAATAGTCCACGAACCCCTCGCCGTACCTACTCAGGTAGGCCTGGGCGTCCAGCAGGATGTACGCGTGGATGAGCTGGAGCACAGTCCGAAGGTTCTCCGACGACATCTCGATGATGGGCAGTAGGTGGTCGCACAGTGCCAGCAGTTCGGGGGTCAGGACAGTCGAATTTCCAATCACAGCCAGCCACAGCATGATTCCATCCTCGATGAGGTAGACGTGAGAGTGTTGCTGCAGGATGGAATGAATCACATTAGTCTGACGTAAATAACTGCATAAAAGAAGTAACACAAAGAAGTAAAACAAACTCTCGAGCACTCATGTATGCTGATGATGCTCTGTGTCGAGCATACAGCAATTCATTTCACTTTCTCTTGCAATCTCAATAATTTTCAGTCATAGTGTGTGCCAATTTGTTACCCCCCTTTTTGTTTCCTTACGTCTTTTGAGGGGTTCTCTTAAGCGAATTACCCTGGTTGATGATCTTGGTGTTCCTGATCACATTTATACCATGGTAGATAAGGCCATTATCGTGCTGGGGTTTATAGTTTAGAACAAAGGACACTAATAATTCCCTCTACCACTACTATATACTAATTCCCTTCCCAAAGAGTTACTCACCTGGAGGTCAGTGCTCAGCCTGATGACGCTGTAGAGGAAGGGTTTCATGGGCTCGGGCACATCTCGGATGGTGCGAACCAGCTGCTCCAAGGTGCCGATGATGGCGCAACGCAATAGGTCGTACTTCTCGCTCTCACGCCACAGCAGGGGAAGGTAGGCGATGAATTGCAGGGCCTGCGGTTCGATGTACTCGCTCATCTTTTCCACCAGCAGTGTCATGGTGCCCAGGACAACGATCTTGGTGTCGCACTCGCCGGCCTCGTGCAGCAGCAAGAAAAGAGCCTCGAACAACGGCGAGAAGTACGGGTGGAAGGCCTCCGGCATGAACTCAAAATCGTCTAACAGCAGGTTCAGGGTCCGGGCGGCGGCCAGTCGTGTGGGCATGTCCTCCTGGGGACGCAGCAGGTGAAGGCACGCCTCGTAGGCCAGCGGACGCAGCTCCCGCGGTAGCTGTACGCCCACCCAGTGTCCCACCATCCAGATGATGCGGCGTCTGAGAATTCGAAAGTTGGGGGCTTCGATGCGCAGCTCCGCCAGCAGCTGGGAGGTCAACCAGGAGCCAAAGTCCAGCTTGTTAAAGAAATGAAACGCCGCCTGTCCCACCGCATTGTAGATGGCGTCCTTTAGCAGGATAGCTTTGAGGTCGGAATCCGGCGAGAGCTGCAGCTGCTGTGCCCGGCGGACGAACTTCAGGACCTCGCCAATCATTACCGTCGAGTGCTGGGTGAAACAGGTGAAGTAGAGCGTTTCCACGCTAGGTCGTAGGGCGTATTTCCAGGCGTCGCCGCCGCCGTCGTCTTGGTCGTAGCCCTCGGGGTCCTGCTGCCACTCCTCCAGCTCCTGCTGGGTGAGCAGGAAGTAGTGGGTGACGATCTTCTCGCAGATGTACGTCACCCGCTCCACGGTGAAGAACTTGGCGTTGCTCTGAGCAGCCGAGGCGAGCAGTTCGTCCTCGAGGCTAGACCCAGCTCCGGTTCCTGTCGCCAGCTCCGTGGCCGCGGGGGCACAGATGCTGTCGTTGCCGCTCAACATGATGCCCTTGAGCATGTTCAGAGCCTGAATGGCAAAGTTGGTAAAGTTGATGCGGTCGCCGGCGTCAAAGATGAGGGCGGTGCCCTCGTGGAACACATAGTGGAAACTAAACTCCAGGGCCACAGACACAAATCGGGCAAAGGATATGGAGTGCCGCTCCACCAGTTCGTTCAGCGCCTTCATCATCTTCAGGATGAAGCGCTCCAGCTCGCTTATCAGTTGCGAGGCTCTGGCCGGGCCTGGTCCCATGCGCAGCTCGTAGCGCAGCTCCAGGCACTGGCGCAGGCGCTGAAACAGCTGCTCTACGAAATTCATGTGGTCAGTGGACTTGTACGGCTTGGAGCATCCGTAGACAATCAATTTCCTGAGGGATCGCATCACAATATAGGCCCGCTGCAGAGCGCTGAGGGCCTGAGCCTCCTCGCCGCTCTTTACCTGCTGCAGGAAGCGGCCGGTCAGAGTGGCCCAGATGTCCCACGCCAAGTAGCTAAAGATCTGGCTGCCCAGCTCCTCGAAGGCCCGCTGCTCGGCCATGAGGCGGCGCGAGGCCAGGGCTTTAATGACGTAGTGTAGGACTAAGAGAATTCTCTGTTGCAGTGCAGCGTCCGTCTCGCTGCTGCACGCCTGCAGCTGCTTCATCAGCGTGGGCAGCAGATCGGGCCAGAAGCGTGGGTAGTCGGTGCGAGCAAGGCGCCCAAACAGCACGGCCACCTGCAGTGCCACCTGGGGCACTTCTTCCGCGTCGTAGTGCTGCAGCAGGACGTCTCGTATCTGCTGCTTCTGCTCGGCCGGCAGCTCCTGCCGCGAATTAGGCCTCCAGTAGCGCTCGATGCCGTTCTTAAGGTAAACGGCTGCCATCCAACGGACCTTCAGCGCCACCTCCGCGTCAACCGCACTGCCGGGCAGCTTCACGCTCAGCCTGGCTATCGTGGGAAAGAACCCCGGCTGCTGCTCCCATTCGCTAAGTTGGGCTTCGGCCTTTTGCACAATCTCGTGGCTGGGGTTTGTGGCCGCCTGCAGGGTCTGGGCTACCAGCTGCTCGACCGCAGTAGTCGTCGTTGCTGTTCCCGTTGCCATTGCCATCTTCTTCCGCCCCACTTCCAACGTTTATAAGATGAAATGCAATGCAAAATTATTGACAAAATTATACGGCGCGTGCTGCTTCTTTCTTGAATAATGATATCGATAGCGTCACTAGCATTAGGGATGATAGATAGATCGATAACAAAAAATCAGGTAAAGGTTTAACAAATTCGACAAAACATATTGTAAATATTTCTATATTTCGCTCGTTTCGGTAAAATAGCATTGGTTAGTATTAATCGGCGTTCCAATTTTCGAATCTTAGTACTAACAGCACCAAAAACACAAACGGGATGATTTCTTATCGTTTTTCCATACCGAATTCATCCCTGATTGGGCTGTTCTGTGTCGTCACCATTAATTCAACCAAACAAGTAACGGGAAAATGGAACGTGCTGTGAATATCTGTTTTGTTCTCTCCGTAATTTTACTGAAATGTACACACGGTTACAAGGAGATGCCCGGATTGAGTGGCAAGATGTTCCCGAAGACTGCCACGTTCCACTTTCCAGAGTACGCCTACAAGGAGACGAGTAAGAATGTGCGTCCACGATGCTATTGATTTTTCTCCGGGCTGAATCGTTTACGTCTTTGACAAACAGGAAATAACCTACCACGAACAGGAGGTGGCCTGCGAGCAGCACACCCAGTGTGTCAATCTCAACGTGGGCGTGACCAAGATCAACTGCATAAGGCACTGCATATCTCCATCCTGCTACCAGGATATCTATGCCTTCAACGCGGTGAGTAAAATCAGTGAGAGGTCTCGCTTTCGAAACTCCTATTCCCATTGTGCTTCTGTAGCTGGAGGAGGGTGAAATCGATGTGAGACTGAACTCCTTCAAGGGGTGTGTCATCCAGAGGATGTAGCAAAAGTCCCCGCTCCTGCACCATCTATATCTCACGGATTACCTGCAGGAGATGCAATGGAAGATCACCGAATATCTTCGCCAGTGGATCCCCCTCGCCTAACCCTCTAGCTTTTTCTTAAGTATTCAGATGGGAACTGAGTCTACGACATTTACGATAATTTATGCATTAGTTAGAATACTTTATACATTCGATTGGACTGCCACATAAATACTATAACTGAATTAATAAACTGTCATATCAGTATGAAGTTCTCCTGGCCGCTTGCAGCAGTCGGCCTCATCGTGGACATTGTCATAGGTGGTACCATCGCAGATCAGAGCCTTGTCGCTGCCCTCGGCGGACTGTCAGCTGAAGTGATCCGCCCTGCAGTCCTTTCGTCACAGCGCCAGAAGGCGGATATACAGTCGTTGTTTATGTCACTACTCCCGCTACTTAAAATTATCTGGCCGGATACACGCCGTAGTTCTCCTTGTCCTGGGGGCACGAGCAAACGTCGTGAGTACTGTGTGTCACACCCCGCTGGCTATGCAGTTGTGGAAATAATTTGTGCGACTGTGCCGTGTGATTGCGCAGCACTTTCGCATCCAGTGTTCACACGGCCCGGATGTCGGTGAACTGCGACAGACAGATGCAGCTCCACGGAACGACGCTCTCCGTTGACAGTGATCCTCTCCAGTCCGGTCTTGTCGCCCAGCCAGTGCACAAATCCACCTAGGCGGCAATGTTGTTCACCTGCGGGATATGCATGGAAGCAAGGGTTTTTTTTAGAGAGGGAACAGGAGATTACACGTGTCCAGAGGTGTCCAATATGGTTGCTTACTTGTTCTTTCCATTGATGTCTACAACTTCTTCGGACTGTTGGTCCAGGTCCAGCGCCGTGACTTCTTACAGCTCCATACGCTCATTGCCATCGACTCGGACCCGAATGATGGCCTGATGGCTGCCAACATCTGTCGAGATGAGCAGACGCCTCGCTTTCATGGCATGCAAGGCAATGTTGCGAGGCTTCTGCGAGTTCGCCCAGGGAGCTAAAAGAGGAAACGTGTTAGAACACAGCTAAATAGGAGAGAGAGCTTCACCTGGGCACGGATATTCTTGCTGGACACCGGCAGCGGCACAATCGGGCAGTCTGTCGTAGCTGGGGGAGATGCAGGGCGTCGTTGTCGACATCTGCGTGATTGACTGGGGCAGCGCCGTCTCCACCGAACGTTGGTGTTGCCGTTAGCCGGTGTGGGTCCCAGTTTTCAGGCCAGTTTCAGCGATGGTCTGCTCTGTGGTCGGATTAATGGTTTGAAATGCTTTGCCCGATTTGCTCTTGTGCCACTTACTTGTTGATGAACACTACATTTAGAGCACCTCCGGAGTAGTCTGCGGGCTGAGACAGGGCGGAGTAGTGGGCCACAACTGCTGCAAAGGGCGCCGCCGGTCTTTAAAACAGCCGTAAACGGGAAAATCTCCCCCACAAAAATATAATATAGATTGTTTTGTTCCGCAATTGAGATGGCAGTGCTTCGATGAATCGTGATAGCTGATCGCTGGTGGTGACAGTTCCTCGATAGCATAATCGTAATCGATGCTATTAGTTAGTATCGATAGGCGGATAAAATATATCGTTTCGTGATATTTCCTCGTCAGGTGGCTCCGTGACAATTTCATCTCTGTGTAGTTGCGATGTAGAAACTCGAAGAAAAAGAAGAAGAAGGGTCATGTGATAGAGACCAACCAGCTGACCGAACAGAAAATAAAAGTTTTTCTTCAACTTGCAACTCCTCCGATCTAAAGTTAGCTAACAATCAACATGGCTCTACACTCTGCAATCAAAGGAAAGCTGATCTCTGTCATCGGCGATGAGGACACTTGCGTGGGATTCCTACTGGGTGGCGTGGGTGAGATAAACAAAAATCGCCACCCCAATTTCATGGTCGTGGACAAGAACACTCCCGTAAGCGAGTTGGAGGACTGCTTCAAGAGGTTCCTGAAGCGCGACGACATCGACATCATCTTGATTAACCAGAACTGCGCCGAGCTCATTCGCCATGTCATCGATGCCCACACTTCGCCAGTGCCAGCCGTCCTGGAGATTCCATCGAAGGACCACCCTTACGACGCCAGCAAGGACTCGATTTTGAGGCGTGCCCGTGGCATGTTCAACCCCGAGGATCTAGTGCGTTAAACAGCACTTTGGCATTGTTTGCAGCCATAGGAGTATTGCAGTTAAAGCCACCAACCCAATTCAATCTAATCCCCTACATTTCAGCTTTGTTTTGTATTAAAGACAAGTGTTAAAGTGTTTTTTGTTTTCAAATAAATAATATATATATGTATATCACATAATAGTACACTCCACTGTCTCCACGCCACCTAGCGGGTTTTCAGCGTACTACATACAATCAGCTGACCGAGAAGAGAATTTTTTCTGTTGCAACGTAAACACAAATAGACATAGTATTAGTCACAAGCTGCGCATTCCACGCACACCATGCTCAAGGCGGTTATCCTCATCGGCGGACCCCAGAAGGGTACTCGTTTCCGGCCACTCTCCCTCGACACGCCCAAGCCTCTGTTCCCGCTGGCCGGTCGACCCCTCATAGCCCATCACATTGAGGCCTGCGTCCAGCTGCCGGAACTCAAGGAGATCCTCATCATCGGATATTACCCCCAGACGCAGATGGAGGCCTTTGTGGGCGATATGCAGGCTCTGTATAGCAGCAGCAACATCAACATCAGGTGAGCAATAGTAGTGGCGTGGCAAGTGCAGATGGAGGATTGATGGAGTGACGTGTCCATTTCACAGGTACCTGCAGGAGTTCACATCTCTGGGCACGGCGGGCGGCATGTACCACTTTCGCGATCAGATACGGGCCGGAAATCCGCGGGCCTTCTTCGTGCTAAATGGCGACGTGTGCGCCGACTTTCCGCTGCAGGAACTGTACGACTTTCACACCCGGCGTCCCTCTAGCGCCCTGGTCACCATCATGAGCACGGAGGCGACTCGCCAGCAGTCCCTGCACTATGGCTGCCTCGTCTTCGATCGCGCCAGTGGAGCCGTCTCGCATTATGTGGAGAAGCCCAGCTCGTATGTGTCCACCTTCATCAACTGCGGCGTTTACGTCTGCTCTATGGACATTTTCACCCAGCTGGCGCAGATCTTCCATGCCCACGGACAGGAGTACGGCTGCGCGGGCTTCAGCAATGGGAACGGCAACGGAAATGGCCGTGATCAGGGCCACATCAAATGGGAACAGGAGGTGCTCACTCCTCTAGCGGGTACTAACCAGCTCTTTGCCATGACCGTGCCCAACTGGTGGTCCCAGCTGAAGACCGCCGGCTCGGCCATCTACGCCAATCGTCACTACCTGGGCCTCTATAAGCGCACACATCCGGAACGGCTGGCGAACGTGGGCTCGAAGCGCGGCGAGGGCGACGGCAACCTGATTTGCACTGTCCTGCCGGATGTATACGTGCATCCCAGTGCCACGGTCCACCACAGCGCAGTGGTGGGTAGCAGTTAATCTCAATTTTTGAATCTCCGGATTCATCCATCTCTCTTTATTGCATTCAGCTGGGCCCGAACGTGGCCATTGGGCCTGGTGTCACCATCGGCCCTGGGGTGCGCATCAAGGAGTCCATCGTGCTGGAGCAGGCCCAGATCCAGGACCACACGCTCATCCTTCACTCGATTGTGGGGCGGGGATCCACCATCGGCGCCTGGGCCCGCGTTGAGGGCACGCCAAGCGACCCGGACCCCAACAAGCCCTTCGCAAAGATGGAGAATCCGCCGCTGTTCAACAACGAGGGAAAACTAAATCCCTCCATAACGATACTGGGTAAGTGGGCGAGTGCACCGAAATGTAGCCTGAGACCTTCTGACCCCATCTAATTGCTCATTGCAGGCTGCTTCGTACAGGTGCCCGCCGAGAAGATACTGCTCAACAGTATTGTACTGCCGCACAAGGAGCTGAGTCGCAGTTTCAAGAACGAGATAATTCTGTGAAGAGAACCAATCATCCAGGGGAATCCGTTCCTACCCGTAGCCCCCATCAGTATGCCATTTTATAAAAATATTTATGTTGTGCAATATTCTTAAAGCTTATGCAATAAAAGCTTGTCACGCAGCGGCACAACGTTTCAGCCTGATATACGGAGTGTCCGTTCTTTCAGGAATAAGCCGATACTTATCGTAGCTTTCAACCGTGTCACGCGGCCAGCTCTAACGCACAGGTAAGCGACCCACGCACACACACACATGCACTCCCTCTCTCTGTCTCTCTATATATCTACAGTCGCTCTCTGCCTACCGTTTAGACCAAAACGCGTTTGGATTCCTCAAGTGTTAGCCATTAGGTCGCCGTCGTCGCTTGTTGCTTGTGGCGCTACAGCAGCTCCGCCAACGATCTAAAGAGTCTTATAATTAAGTAGTGGATTAATATTCGAATATATAAAATAGCCAACCGATGGCCAAAAGTGAATCTATATAATGTTCGAGCCTCTAGCGCTGCCCCCGAAAAACAAACAGGTATGTACGTAGGCAGTTTTGTTGGTAGTTGAGCAAGCGAAGAGGAAGAGCGGCGGTGCACAAACACAACGTAAAAAGTACAGGTGTATGCGTGCGGGTGCGCTTGTTGTATTGGTATTGGTGGAGCGGAGCAGGCGGCGCAGGTAACTTCTCCAGAGAGAATGACAGTAGAGAAAGAGAGCGAGCGTGTCACGCTCATTGAGCGTAACTGTCTTGCGTAGCGTGGGAAAACTACAAGCGAGGAGGGGGGTCGGGCAGAGGCGTCGTTGCAATCACAGCGCAAAGCTTGGGCCAAGTCAAAATAACGGTGTGCTTTGGCAAAGCTCTATTCGAATTGCAGTTCCATTCGAGCTTTGTCAACTCTCTCCTCTCTGCGGAGTTTGTTTACGGGCCACCAACCAACTTGAAGGTACATATGTATGTACATTCATATGTACATATGCCTATTGGCGAACAGACTCGAGAGAGCATTCGGGTTTTACATGGACTGCGTGTGCGTGCTGGAATCTGGCTTGGCATTCCACCACCACCTCCATACACCTGAGCCAAAGGCGCAAGCTCTCGCGAGAGTGCGCTCTCTCCAGTAGGTTGCGCTCTTGCGCACAAACACTCGAATCACACACGTTGAGCGCAGCTCATTTACCTTCGTACCTACCTGTGGGGGGATCAGTTTTTGTCCTCTCTCGGTGGGTTTTTCTCTCTCGGATGTAGTGGTGGCCACGTATATACAGTAGCGGCGAAAAAAATAGCACTGCTAGTCACAACAGTCTTTACGGAACACCAACAAAAATAGCACTGAAAACGCTTTTGTGAATTAAATTCCCAATTCTTTAAAATATGTTTCTAAGAAGAGAGACGCGAACAAAGGTCGCGATATTCCCATTTCCGGTAAAACTACTGGTTCGTGATAGCAAAGAGGACCTATTTAATTTGGCCACAGAGCTAAAAAGGAATCGTATGAAATCGCCAAGTACTAGGAAAGCTATATCTTGCTTACAAGAACGTAAAATGGGTGTCCGAGGAAAAGTCCACTTTTGACGGGAAGGAATGGGGGAAAAAATTGAGTATGCAAAATAGCACTAAAGTTGGCCCAAGGATAAATAAAAAACATCCTGTGGTCCGATGAATGCCAACATCTATTTTTTGGTGGAAAAGGGTCTTGATCTTATGTGAGACCACTACCTAATGTAGAACAATAACCCCCTAAATCATTAGAAATAGAGAAGCAAACATAATCGCTATTTTTTTCGCCGCAGCTGTATATATATGTACCATATATATATTCTTGTTTAGGAAAAGAGCGCGAATTACCGTTCGAATGTTCGTCGAGGCAGGTTCGGTTCGTTGCGCGCGCTCCATCGTCGCTCGTTTATTTCAAATCGCAGGAAAATTAAGATTCTTAACTATCCTATGGTTTTAGAACGAATTATACCAAAATATATCTAAATATTCTGTGCTGTCTCCCAGCTTGGATCAAAACGGACGCGACGGTCGCTTGAGTCGAAGAGCTGGACACACATACACGCAGATACACACTTACTCACACACCTCTCTTGCTCCGGCCAAAAACTAGAAAAAAGACAACAGCTAAAAGTGGTAGTAACAGGCGAAGAAGAAGCAGTAGCAGCAGCAGTGGAGGCAAAAAGTGACTTGTTTTTTGTTTGCTTGTATACGCCGACGTCGGCGCTAACGCTCCGATCCATACCCGCTCTGACTCCCCTTCGTCCGTATGTCGGTATTAAGATCGCGGTCTAAGCAAGTGTACTAGTCTCTAATCAAAGCAACTAGACGCCAAGGCAGTGCAGGCATTGGGTGCTAACAATACAAGATATCATATAAACATCAACACAACTACACACACAGGTGTGAGCGTGTAGGCGAGAAAAGAAAGTGCAATAAAAACCAAAAATTGTAAAAAAGCCAAAAGTGCAATATGTATACAAAGTGTTGAAAAGAGACAAGCAAAAAAAAAACAGTTAAATCGCCGCGCATCGAGTGATAGAGAACGAGCTGTCACAGAAGGAGGAGAGCAGAACAAGAAATCATTTACACACCAACCTGTTGCGTCAAGGAATCCGATTGAGTAGAGATTCTGTTGCCACAGGTGAGAAATCTACTGAGCATCATCACAAAAGAGTGAATGAACAGAGACAACGGCCCCGCCGTGTAAGGTGGATGCGCACACAAAGTGAAAACATATTTACAGTTAGCAAAGACCAAGAAAACGAAGAGAGAACTGAGTGAAAGAGCAGCAGTGGTAGAGGCTGGGACTTGTATAGGAGACCAATACCCTCCACAGAGTACGACATATAAGTTTAGGTGTGTGCCCGGTCATAGTTGAACCTTAAGTTAGAATGTCATTCGGATAAGATAATATAACAAGATACGACCCGACTTAAAACTCAATTCCGAAGTTCGATAAGTTCAGGAATGCTAGATACAAGCAATTTAACTGCAGGTGGAGTGCCAAATAGGGTATTTAGGAGTCGAATCGTCTTCGAAACAATAACCACCAGCTGCACTTGTTTCTTGCGTGAGAGCGAACATAAGAGTGAAAAGAGGGAGACAGAGAGAGAGAGAGAAAGAGTGCTGGCAGCCTGAACTAACGACTTACTTTTTTCTTTTCTGGCAAAATAACTTTGGCAATTGGCATTTCTGGCCAACAATTTGCGCAATCATTAGTTTCCTGTTGCCCCAACGGCCAGAGGCACACGACAGCCAGCAGATTTGCGAGCGGGAACAGTGTAGTGCATAAAACAGAAAAACTTGCGCAATTATTAATTTAATAAGCAAGACCAAAAAAAAAAAAACGCTGTAAAATCTACTCGCTTTCTGGTTTACCAATCAGCAGGCAACAATTCATTAATTGCATTGGCTTTTTGTTGCTCTTGTTGCTTTTGCTGCTGCGCCTGTCACTAATTTATATTTAATCACCAGCCTTATTGTATTGTCTTTCAAAAGCGTAACGGCCACCAGTCGTGGTCCGGTCTTCGGCTTCGGCTTTGGCTTCCACTTGGGCTTCGTCTCCGTTTAGTTTGATTTTGCGTTATAGTCGGTTATTTTAAGTTTCTTCTTTTAATTAATGCTCCAGCCCTGTTCCATTGTCTTCTGACCCATTCGTGCGGTCCATCTTAATTGGGCCCAAACGCGTGAACCGTTATTCATTAATGAAAAGCGCACGTTCAGGGAGGGAGGGTATTCCCGGTTTCCCAGGTTTCTCAAGTGCGCAACGAAAGTAAGAACTTTCATATATAACAGTACTGATCCCCCTGCCATTCCTCGACTTATGATAAAAGTGGTGGACCGAATTAGTAGATCAAGAAGTTTTCTAGTGTTTTTCGGCTTAAGTACTGGAAAGGAACAGTCCAGAACAGGAAATAAACTACTTTAGAACAAATTTTCCATTGCGACATTGATTCGGGGGTCAACAGGCAGACGGTTGCCGTGAACCTAACCCTAGGGATCGCACACGGGGGCTTTTGGCTGTCTGAAGTGCCCGGTAAACCAGTTTAAAGTTATAGCTAGTGACTCTATCCCATGGTGGGCACCTCCCAAAGTGTTCTTTAGGGCGTATCTGGGGCTCGCCAAACGTGGGAATCCACTAATCATGTGATAGTAGCGGCAAAAATGGTCACAGGGCGTATAAGGGGAGGGCGGCGATGCAAAAAGCATACAGTAAAACAGTAAAAAGCAAACGTCATAAATTGCAAAAGATTGCACAAGCACACAACCACAATCGCTCATTAAGAGATGGTCACTCTAAAGCCACCAAGGCTGGGATGAAGGAAGCCGAGAGTGAAAAGAGTCAACTAATCATGCGCTGCCTCCCCATCCTACCCCTCCAGTGTGCTATCGACCAGGTGGAAACAGGGAAAAAAGGGAGAGAGAGGGAGAGATAATAAATCTGCTTAAGCAGTTTGAGTTATTAGGCAAGTGTGGGACATTAAAGCAAGCCGAGCCGAGCGATATGCCATATATGTTCATATAGTACTCGTAGTACTCGCAGATCCCACTCGACTCGAATCGGATCGGACCCAGCTCGACCCGCGGGAAGTGCTTTTGCTTCTGGCTTAATTACGAATGCTTGGCCTTTTGCACGTACATATGCATTATTTTAAAATTTAATTGCAACAAAGAGTAATCCCATAAAGTGCGCTCCGCTCCATACAGAAACTGAGGACAGAGCAGATAGCAGTGAGCAGCGACAGCGCCTGCGCACCACGATTAACCCATGATCGCCATCTTGATGAACTTTGCCAGTAAGTCAGCGAGCCAGTCAGCCTGTGAGTCGGACAGAGAGTCGGAAAGACAGTCAGCTGGTCTGTTGCTTGGGCTCTGGAGTGTTTTTCTGTTTTCATTAAAAGTAAAAATTTTCACATTAAAAATTCTCATAAAATTGCACTGTAATTTTTCGTCGTTGGCGTTGTCGTTTTCGCCGTACTTCCACCTTGTCGTGGAGCGAAATTAAATTTCAAATCGCCATGCGGGTTAATACTTTAATTTCAATTTGACCCTTTTGACGTCAATGCAATGGTAGCAGTAGCAGCAGTCTTAGAAGGTACTACAAATGCAAGTGAACGGCGGCAAAGCTGCACGCTGAACTTGCTTCATTCCATGCTGGAAGCTCCATTCAGGGGAACAAGGAAACCAGAAAACTACTGGCAAAACAAACTGAAAACCTGGACAGCTGATTGAATTGCATATTCAAGGTGTCAAAGTGTCAAGCCTTGGCAAGTTTCACGAATAGTCGTCGGACTTTGACTTTCGTTTTTTGAATTTTTTTGTTGCTTTCCGTAATTTGTTTTTTTTTCGTTTTTTGTTTTGTTTAGTTTCGATTTGTTGGTTTGGAAATTTTTTAGTACGAGCCAATTCGCTTTGTTTGACATTTCTTGAACGCACTCGTAATTAGTGTTTTTATATGGCCAGCGGCCGGGCGGGTATACGTTTAAAGTCCAAGTGCCTTGTGCAATCATCCCAACTCTCGTTCTTCTGTTCCATTCGCAGGCACAGCTAATGGCCGAGAGGCAGCCGTGAGATGCAGTCCCGCTAAGCCAGCACAGTAAGAGAATGCTTGAAGTCCGCTAGAAGCACGGAACCGCCCGGAACCCCAAACACCAAAGCACTGAACGCTGGAATGTGGCATAATCATTATTATCATCAGCAGCCGCAGCAGCAGCAGCAGCATCAATAGCCAGATCGATCTCCTCAAAGATAATTAAACCATCATTAGCATCAACAGCTCCAGCACCAACTTTAGCTCCAGCGAGAGAGAAACATAAGATGCAGGTGCCCGAGCACGTTGTCTCCCTGTACATCGCCACCTGTGGCCAGAATGGACCCGGACTTGGATCTGACGAGAAGGAGATCATACTGCTCGTCTTCGTTCTGCTGGAGGTCGCCACGGGTCAGGTGAGTTATTGAACATTCATAAGGGGATACCGGCACCGTCCCTCTCTGATCTTTCTGGCGCCGCCCACTGTTCACCATTTTGTTTGACGGCTCATCATTCGCTCGACTCGGTCTCTTGCTCGTTCGCTGGCTCGGGCTTTCTTCTACGCCTTAATTAATGAATGCTGTGCGATAACGGTCCCCCACTTACACAACGACACACTCACAAACACCTACTCATGAGCATACTGCAGTTTGGCGTGGTATGGAGTGGTTTGGTATGGTGTGTCGCTCGTTGATTATGTTACAAAAGCAACGAAAACAAAACTCTCTTGCCTTTGATTCGCCACCAAAAACCAAGGCGAAGAAAACGCAACAGAGAAAGCCGAAGCCGGGAATACCCCTTAGAACATTAATCACCAGAGATTTAAATTCAAATAAGTGCAACTATATTCAAAGAGAGTAAAGAATCGAGCAATCTCTATCAATTTGGGATCCTCCAAAGAGGATCTCCTAAAGTAGAAGTGTTTGATTATGTTTTTGTAAATCCATCCCAAACGGAGGGAAACATTATATTGTAGACATAGATGGATATTTGCATATTTTAAGTTTACCAAGCGTTTGACACTCATAGTTTGGAAAAAAAGCTTTAAAAATCCGAGGGAAGGCGATGGCGGTTGCATCTTCTCGTAGACCCTCGCACGGCATTACGAAATCCCTTAACAAACTATCGCCCGAGACAGTCCGACTTGACTCAACTCGAGAGAAACAGCCATTAAAAACTGTTTGCTTTGGCTCCAAAGCTAAGTTTTCCAAGAAAGTACACAATCTAAAAATGAAAATGATGTAATGGTTTGGTTTTGGACTGGAGATGTCTCGAAAGTCCCAGTGTCGTCAGTGTATCTCCCATCCGTTCCAATCCAATCTGATCCAAACCAATCCAATATAATAACTCTATTAGTATCATCTGCTTTCCCCTGCGGGAGTCTCCTCCCCTGCCCCTGGTTTCAATGATGTTTTTAAATCGCAATTCTATTTGCCCAATACTCGACGACAGTCTTGACTGCACACAAACTTGGATGTCGCTGGATGTCGTTGTCTCGGGGGTTGGATGGAGCTGGACAGAGTTACGTGGCGGCCAGTCAATTGCCAGAGGAGGCTGCGTGTTTAGGCACTAGATATAAGTACCCGCCGATATAAGGTTGTTTCTCGAGCCCATGATGGAAATCGTTGCCATTTTCCGCCATTTGGGTTAGGGGAGGAGTGGGAGTGGTAGTTGGAAGAGGGATAGCTCTTGAAGCTATTTACGGGTATTTACCTGATGTTTGCCTGCACACGAAGTTGACATTGTCTCGATTCTATGAGTGGCCGAACGGAGCACGCAACCTTTTAGCAAATGCAGCCTCTCCTCCAACTTCTATACCGCTTAAGTGGCAATTAATGGCGGCAGGGGCAGAGTCAGAGACAGCATCTGCGGCAGTGGCACTGCGTGGTTCGCAATTATTTGAATCTCCGACCAAGTCGGACTTAACCGAAAGCCTTGACTCTGTGCCCTGTTCGGGTGTCATAGCATCTAGACCACGTCCATCTGTCCAGCTTTTGTTGTTGACGAGGCCGCCAAATTATTATCTATATAAATTAATTGCTCCGCTCTTCGGCTCTGACTATGGCTCTTTGCTTTACAGCGGCTTTCGCAAAACGTTTCGACTTTGGGGCCAATTTTTATGCTAATCTGTTCGGTGAGTCCCCGCCGCGGAAGCCATTCGAAAAGATGTTATTAGTGGAATTATGAGTATTTCATTTTTTTTTTTGCTAGTATTCGGACAGGTCATGGGGTCAAGCTTCGCTCGAATTTCTCCGAAATCCTATTCCTCCCCGCAGACACCCCCTTTACGCTTTAATGAGGTGCCCCTAGACCAGACCAGAGGGGACATCTGAATAAAATATAATTTTCTGGAATATATTCTACGAACATTTGAATACCAAATAAAGTCAGCGCGAAATTTATGGTAATTTGGTGAGCCACCTAATGGATGAACGGCAATGCGCGTCTGGTGGAATCCGCCTGAACCCGACGCGATGTCCCGTCCCGATTGATACCTATCTACATATATCGGAAGCAATTTCGGACTGATAACGTAATAAAGTGCTTCGTTTGGCCAGTGCTTCGCGGGCGGGCCAGGTCAGCCATCCGCAACGCCTTCGTCATCGTCATCGTGACGGGAATAGTGAGGGCGGTTGGACTTGGCCAGACATAGAAATCACAGGCAAATTATTATTGGATTTGCTGACGCGTCTGATAATGGGCAATATGCTTTCCGATTCCGACATCAATTGTAATGCCTAATGAAGCAGGCTTGTACTGGTATGGAAGGGTATACTCGTATGATATTAATATACGTATCTGAACAGTCCGAAGTAGAACGACGAAGATTAGAGTGTCTCGCTTTTCAAAATGGAGACTCGCTCTGAGAGCGATCTCAGGCGATGCTGAACCGTTTCCATGTCTATTGGTTTTTTCTGTTATAGATTTCTTGTTGAGGAGCAATTTACTTGATTTGATACGTGGAACATGTACAGCACAAAGGCGCAGTAATTGGCATGTTAATTGCAGGCTAGTTATGACTCGTATGGCAACAATTAAAGTTAATTAACATTCGATCACAAACTGCAAACAGTCGCCAGAGTGGGGAGAGTGAGGGGAATCTCTGCGAATCTCTGCTCTCTGGCTCCACTTCTCCAAAAATTTGAGCTCTTGGCTCTGGCGATAATTCAGCTTAAATTTCACTGAAATTTCATTCATGGCCACAGATTACGTCGAACTAATTATCAAGTGTGGCTAAATGCAACGATTTCCCATCCATCGCATTCGGGGACATCCATTCGAAAATTCGAATCGGCATAATTAGGGGCGGGCTTAACCCCAAACCCGAAACCCAATGTGGGGTGTAGTGCGAGGGCTCTTCGATGAATTTAACATGACCGACACTCATAAATATTTCATTATCTCTGTGACGATCCTCTGTATTGTTCAGGCATTCAATGGCTATGCAAATCGCTGGCCTCAAATCGGAAAACAAAGAAAAGTACAAGTTTAGTTCTCCTTTTGCCTCAGCAACCCCCACCACCCAGTCCGACCAGGGCCCAGCGATCCATTAGCATAGGGCCCAACTACCTGCAGGGGATACAGCTGGCTCCGATTCCGAAGCCTATTCCAATTCCAATTCCGATTCGTATCGTCTCCTTTGCATATCCGCTGACGTAAGTTCCAGTCTTGTTGCCCCCAGGGGTAGGGGAGACACGAAGGTACTCATTTGAAGGCTAAGAAAAATCCAGAAGCTTTGCTAGTGATTCGCAGGTGTACCCCACTATCGGATGTTAGAGATAGGAACCGCTGTTGTGGCCAAGAGCAGCGTGCCGTTGCCGGGTCCGTACCCGTGCCCGTGCCCCACTTGATAAGCGTAGGGGGAACAGCAGTCATGCTTACACAGACATTACTTTGATTAGGTAGCAACTCAAAGTAATTCCCACTAATGCTGCCATCTAAATCTCCCCTCTACAGATCATCGGCACCAAACAAATACTCGTCCGGCCCGATGGCTACTTCATCAAAGACCGCACCACCTCGACCTCCTCGGACCCCTCGAACGTCACCAGCAGCAACACGGCCTGCTCCCCGCCTCTGGCGGGCATTGGCATCGGAGCCATCGATGGCAATGTCAATGCGAATAGCAGCGCCTCGAGCAGCATCGGCAGCGGAACGGGGAATGGAAGCAGCTCAGCGAACGGCGTTCTCGAGAACAGCAGCGAGCTGATTCTGCCGATAGCCGAGGCCCAGGCAGCGGGAAAACCGCTCAACGAAGCCATCGAGGAGGTACGTATTCTCTAGGTGGAGAGAGTCGAAAGGTAGAGCACGTTGTTTGGGTTCTGTTTGGATTTGTTGTTATCAGGTGGAACCGGCTCCCAAATCCGATAAGATTAGGCCTACACCACACACCGAGCCGCTGCAGATCTAGAGGAGTGCGGGGGAAAGAGAAAGTGAAGGAAGGGGTGGAGAGATGAGAGCTATTTATGGAACCCACCCTCAAAGTGACTCGCTGCCAGAAATCTGAACCCACTCCAAAGTATTAATGGGGCAGGCATCGAGTTACGGTCTGCCAACAGGCAAAGATGAACGACATTAATGGTGTTGCGTGGTATATGAGGCACCAATGTATCTGATAAGAACCGATTCGGACTAGAATTCGGATTCAGAATACGATTTCAGAGAGAGACACGATAAGTGGACGCATTTATTGCTGCGTCATGGGGGATTGCATTTATTCCCTCGATTCCACATAACCTTTGGGGATTCGGATGGGTCACAGTCACCCCACCCCCGCGAGTCTGTTTCGGAGTCGGAGTCGGGGGAATACCTACTGGGGTAAGCCTCCATCCAGAGAAATCTACCAGCTGGCAGAGCCGGGAAATATCGTTCTGTAGACACCACATACATATTTACATATGTAACTACTTATTCGACGACACAGATAAAAGATCTCGATACGGACAGCGACAGCGAAGGCGACAATGACAGCGAGAGGCGCAGTATTGCGAAATGTTGGCCAGAGCTGATTCATTGCGGATTCTACTATTTGCATTTCCTCCGATTACATCCGATTAGAGCGAGTCATAATGAGTTTTCTTTCTTTCTATGCCTCTTGAAGGGGTTTTAAATGAACTCTGATCTATGTAGATTCATGGGATTCTCTTTCATCCATTAATCCACTTTATACAAAGGCTTACATAGGTGGAGACTAGAATCAATCCCATTGGCCATCGCATTTCTCACTTGGGAGTGCATCCGTGAGCGTCTTGTGACGCAAGTGTCTGAGAGAATGGCAGAGAAAAGAGCAGGAAACGCGAGCTTGAAATACTAATTGGCTGAATCGATAGGGCCAAGAAAAAGCCAAGGGCCAAGAGGGAGGGGATGCGAAAGTCAGCAGTCAGCTGCGGATGCAGATGCGAATGAACCCCTCTAATTCAAGGTGGATGCTATCAGTGGATTTTGTGATTGGATTGCTGTGATCTGGCTGGCGATTCCTTGGGGCCTGCCCCGGATTGTAATGCGACATTAAGCCGTGTTATTTTTACTCACGATGACATGGCTGAATGCCGCTGGTGTCTGCTGCTGGTTGCTGGCTGCTGCTCGTTTAATTGCCAATAATTGCCAGCAACTATGGCGGTGGCAGAGTCGACTAAACGGGTTTAGGCAAATGGCATTGGAGTGTAGTCGCAGCCTAGAAATGTGGCACCAATTGTGACCCGAGATACCTTTCGGCGAGAAGCGGTTGGAATGAAGCGGCATTTCACTTGCCACTGAACCTTTGCACCTCGATCTCTCTCCCTCGCCTGATTGGAAATTTTACTGACTCGTTGACTCTCCCTCCCGCTTGCAGTTCGATGACTACCTTCGGTCTCTATCGCTGCACGACACAGACATCCAGATGATCACGGATGGTCAGCTGCCCCTGAGGCAGTGCCTGCACCGCGAGGCCTGCGCCAAGGATGTGGAGCTGCCTGCCTACTACAATCGGTTCAGCGACCTGCGCAAAGAGTTCCTGCGCTACAAGTCCGGAGATCTGTCGCGGGCCCTGGTCCCCATCAAGGACATAAAGAAGATGCTGCAATCGCCCACACTGCCCGTGCCCCAGTCCATCGGAGAGATGCTGAATGGTGAGTGGCAGTCGATTTCATCTTCCTTTTACTAATTACACGATCCATTTTCCCCCTGGAACAGAGCTCAATACGACGTCGGTGGAGGACAACGGCTTCTACATACGCGAATCTCGCGACATGGTCACTGTGATTCAGACCCTCCTCCAGGCAGGTGAGTACACGATTCACATTGGTTTATCGTTTTATCGGTTTTGAGTGCTCTAAGTATATGCTCCTTTGCTTTTCAGGTCACAAATTCGCCTCAAACGAGTTGGTCACCCTGAACCTGGAACCTGGAATTTGGTGAGTAGCTCCCCTCTCGTTACTAAACAACTGCAAAAAGCGAGTAGCTGATTCAATTCTTGTCGTGCTCTTCGAGTGCCCCAAAAAATACTCACTCAAAGCAAAAAGCCGAGAACCGAACCCATAAAAATCGACTAAAAGATACCCCAAACACTGGAAGGCGGCACGAAGCTGCGCTGGAACGTGGTCGTCGTTGTGGTTGTCGCCTTCGTCTTTTTGGTTGCTGCCTCGTCAGTTGCCGTTTGGATTGGGGAGCGATAAGAGCTCGGGCGTCTTCGAGAAAATCGGTGGAGTACATACTGCCAGCCAGCTGTAAGGCGATCATCGGGTCAGAACGGATCGGATCGCGTCGTAACTGTGAACCAGAGTCGGCTTTTGTGTGTGTTTCGCATGGAATGAATGCACGGCTCTTGTTATCGCTATTGCCTTGGAAAATTCTACCAGCGTAGAAGGAAACGTCTTGCCCTCTGCCGGACCCTGGTCTGTTTCGAACTATACACTCATAAAAATATTCAATTAGTGGAAAGGTACTCTGCACTAGAATCCACCACCACTCCCCCTTCAACTCCAACTCCTTTGGAGTGGATCAGCCAACTGATTTGGTTATTTGTCGTCTGTCTGCCACCATTATTCATATTTTATTTTTTTTTCTGTTTCGGTTTCGGATTGCGTTTCATTTCACTTATTTTTTTTTTTCTGTTTGCTTGGCCCCTTTTATGGATGACATTCTCTGTGTGTTTTCTTGGTGTGTGTGTGTATTAGGAGAGTCAGCAAAAAATTTGTATACTCGTATGTAGTACGCCTTGGCTTGGTAATCGTCGAAAACTCTTGCTGCACATTAAAACGTCGACCAAGTCACGTTTCGCGATCGAAAAGTAGCGACAAAAAGAGACGACAACGCCACCCCCTCTCCATGTTGCATAACGTAGTCCTCTCTTTCCACTGCAATACCAATTCCAAGTATAATTCGAATGTCATCCAATTGCAGCTCAATCGACGACGAGGTCGACGGCAACTGCATCGTGCGCGCCCGCGGACTGCCCTGGCAGAGCAGCGACCAGGACATTGCCAAGTTCTTCCGTGGTCTCAACGTAGCCAAGTGAGTAGCGGAACGGCCAAGCCAACCCATTGATAAGCCTGCTCCCGATAGACGCGGGTTCAGCGGATCACCGTAGATTACAAGCGATCGTCTCTAATCTGGCTTTCTTTCCCTCCTCTCTCCTCCCTCCATCCTATAGGGGCGGTGTCGCTCTTTGTTTGTCCCCACTGGGCAGGCGTAACGGCGAGGCTCTAATCCGCTTCGTCTCCCAGGAGCACCGAGACATGGCGCTGAAGCGGCATAAGCACCACATCGGGGCCAGGTACATCGAGGTGTACCGCGCCTCGGGCGAGGACTTTCTCGCCATTGCCGGAGGCGCCTCCAATGAGGCGCAGGCCTTTCTATCCAAGGGGGCCCAGGTGATCATTCGAATGCGGGGACTGCCCTACGACTGCACGGCCAAGCAAGTGGTAAGTCCTATCAGAGTTTCCTTCCAGAGGGACGAAATTAATCTTTTCGCTCTCGTTTGATCCACAGCTCGAATTCTTTACCACGGGCGAGGCGCCCTGTCACGTGCTGGATGCGAGCGAGGGCGTTCTTTTCGTGAAGAAGCCGGATGGGAGGGCCACTGGAGACGCCTTCGTGCTGTTCGCCAACGAGGGGGATGCCCCGAAAGCGCTGGGGCGACACCGCGAGTCCATTGGGCAGCGATACATCGAGCTCTTTCGCTCGACCACCGCCGAGGTGCAGCAGGTCCTAAACCGCTCCATGGACCCCAAGACCTTTGAGACAAGCAGCCACAGCCAGCCGCCGCTAATCGCCCAGCTGCCCACTATGCAGCTGCCCCTGCTGCCCCAGGTGGGTGTCGTCACCCATGGCAATGGCCGCGTCCCAGTTCCAGTCCCAGCTAACCTGTGCCCACATCCCCATCCCCCACAGCACCTTATCACTTCGGGAACGACAAAGAACTGCATCAGGCTGCGCGGACTGCCCTACGAGGCCATGGTGGAGCACATTCTCCACTTCCTGGACGACTTTGCCAAGCACATCATTTACCAGGGCGTGCATATGGTGATTAATGCGCAGGTGAGTCGGGGATCTACCTTCAGCTATACTTTGGAGACTTTTGCTCAAGCAACTGTCATTCTAGGGCCAGCCCAGCGGCGAGGCCTTCATTCAGATGGACTCGGAGGACTCCGCGCGGCTCTGCGCCCAGCGCAAGCACAACCAGTTCATGGTCTTCGGAAAGAAGTTCCGCTACATCGAGGTGTTCCAGTGCTCCGGCGACGACATGAACATGGTCCTCAACGGCGGACTGGCCTCGCCCGTCGCCCAGGCACCGGCCCACCACGGCCACGCCCACAAGCAGCCCTCGCTGCTATCCACGGGTATGTTAGCTCAGTCGCCGCCGACTCCAACCGGCGCCCAGTCGGCCATCTCCGGCTCACACACACACCCGCACGCACACTCGCATTCGCACGCCCAGGGTCCCGTCTCCACTCACCATGGCTTGCCCACGTCCCCAGCACTCCTGGCGCCCCTTAGCTCCACCTCAGCCGCTGCTGCGTCCGCTGGCGGACTGGCCTCCTTCATGGCCTCTCAGCCATCGGCCGCCGCCGCCCACTCTTCGCTGCAGAACGCAGCCGTGGCCCTAAGCTCCCTGTCGGGCCAGGCCCCACCCGGATACCCCCTCAACTTCTCGCTGCCGCCGCCCTCCTCCCAGGCGGCCGCCAGTCCCGCCCTACTCGCACAGCAGCAGGCGCAGTTTATAGCCCAGCAGAGCCTTCTGGTGCGCCAGCAGGCCGCCGCAGCCCTGGCCGCCGAGCAGCAGCAGCAGCTTTACGCCAACGCCATGCTCCAGTCGCACCCCCTCTACCTGCAGCAGCACCAGCAGCAACAGCAGCAGCAGCAGCAGCTCTATGCCAATGCAATGCTGCAGTCGGGCCAGCCCCAGTTCGTGTTCATGCAGCGGCCTTACATGCCGCATTTTCCCCTTGGCTACATGCAAGCTGGAGCGGCTGGCAGTGCCTCTACCTCGGCCCTGGCCCTCGCACAGGCTCAAGCCCAGGCACAGGCTCAGGTGCAGCCACAGTCGATGAAGCGGTCGTACGAGAACGCCTTTCAGCAGGAGGCGGCTGGAGCAGCGGCTGCAGCCAGTGCGGCCAAGCGGGCGCTCACTCGCACGCCTAGTAGCGTCTACTCGTACTACAATCCGGGCATTTGAGGCAAGCCTCCGCATACAAGTCGATTTCGCGACATCTCCAGCACTTCGTGCACATTCCGCTTCGCTCCATTCCGTTTGCAATCCATTGTGAGTGGCGCCGGAGTGCTATATAAACATATACATAGACATATAAACCACACATCTATCCACGATCCACGCATATCATGTTCCATCATGGCAACCCACAGAGACACACACATGTATACCAGACATATTTTAGAGCTTTATTTTATAGTGAATCGATTTCGTTACCGGAAAAGAATGGAATGAGAGTAGCCTTAAGTAAATGAGTACTCTTCTTGTATGGAGTACTCGTAGCAGCATAAGCATTCCTGTCTATGGTCTAAGCATATACATCTATATAATATCGTACACACGCGCACACACGCACACGCGCTAGCGCACATACAGTCGCACTGCTACTCACACGCATATGAACACCCGTTAACGGAGGATCCCAGAATGATTTGCTCACCTTTCTTCCACATTCGGATGCTTTGAGTGTGTGTGTGTGTGCGCGTGTGCGTGTGGGACAGTGAGGGATTTGGGACGCATAGCTATGTGTGCATTGTTCCCAGTCCTGTCAAACACCCCCCACCGCGATTCGAAGGCAATCAACAGAGGCTAACGTCATTCGTGGAGGAAGTACGGCATGGCCTGGGCCTCGCCCACGCTCATACAGTGCAATCTACTTTTAATGTCTATTCCGGTTCAAACACCACTCCACACTCGCACTTCCCCTACGAATGGCGTCAGGTGTTGGCTCATGCGCTCAAATTTGAACGAAATTCTGTAAGACAATATGTGGAATATCCATAATCGATAAACGCCTAGATATAAGATCGTACCACTTGTAAAATTGGTTGGCATTAATTTTAATCAGTCTGCAATCATTTCCTGTGTCTTTCCTGAGCTCTGTTCTGAACTGAAGTGATCTGAAGGCAGACCTCGGCTGCGATGCGAAAAGCTAACCCTAGATCAAATCAAACCCTAATCCAATCCAATCCACCCACTGATATGCGTTCAATACTTGAATAATCTCGTTGTTTGAATTTCATATCGTGTGTGTGTGCACACATTGTACTATATATATATATATGTATTTAGCATAATCTAGATGTCAATCTGCGAGTATGGTGTAGCTCTTAAGTGTGCGTAACTGGTGTTAGTCGCAAACGGGAACTCTAATATTTCTATCTATCACTCTTTCTATTACTGTCACTCTCCTTTTCTGTGTTTTTTCCCTCGTCCTCACTAATTTAGTTGTTAGTCCTTGGAGGGATGTACGTCTATATATACATCTACATCTACAGACTCGTATGTAGTCCTAGGCCTAAGACCTGCTTATCGTACGTTCGGGCGCTTTAGTGTCTAGTGTGTCCTACTCTCTATGTACGTGATAACGGTAATTGGTGTCTTCCACGGGCTTACATCCACATACACACACACACAAACATGCGAATACGTCGATCGAAGAACGCAGAGCGCAGAGCGCAGAAGAAAGAACGATGGAAGTCGGTTTCCACCTGAACCTGAACCCTATCACTCCTTTTCACTCCCTCCTATCTATCCGCTTCTGATTCTGATGCTTCTCCTGCTGCGTCTAACATTCAGTTTCGTAATGCTAAGAGGGGCATAACGAATGAAAGCCACGGGAAAGATTCGCATAGACTTTAATCCTTAGCCTAATTTACCTTTAGCCTTTAGTACGAGTAGATTCTTTGCGAGTGCGAGTTTGTGGCAATCGAGTGGCTTCCGAATGGGTATGAGGCTAACAGACCCTCCTCCAGCGGCCACTTTAAAGATCTTAAACATCTTAAAAAAAACCAATTATTTACTTAACTAGTTCGTACGCAAACAACAACCAACGTTTTTATTGTGGAACAGATTTTACGATTTTGATATTCCATCTTTTTACCATTAGCTGTTAGTGATCTATCTTTGATTAATTTTTTAATTTTTTATTTTACATCAATAAAATACAACATACCGCCTAAAAACTATCAACGCTCTCTCTCTCCCTGTCTTTCTCTTTTTCTCTCTCTTTCTCTCTCTCTCTCTCTGTAATATACACTTTCTCTCACCCGCCCCCTCTCTCTCGTTCTCCGATTAAGTGTAGAGGATCGACCCCACCTACTAATCCACACAAACAGAAAAACCTACTAACCCATTTATCAATCGATTTCTGCGGGATAATTTTGTTTAAGTGTAACCCTCATTCCCTGTACCCTGTACCCGTACTCTCTCCCGCGATATCCAACGCCAGCCCACCTCACTCCTCCTTCATATATATACATGTAACTGGGCTTAGCTTTACACTCGATCGCGTTTTCAGCGGGGCTGCTCCGCCTCGCCTCGGAGCGGTTGGAGTTGGATGAAGCGGAGATGGAAGCTGCAATAGATGTTTCTGTTTGGGGCTCTGTTTCCGTTTCTGTTTCTGTTTTGGTAATATTCTCGTTTACGTATCCCTAAATGGAATCTCCATCACGATCGTACTAGTCATAGACGCATCTTGTATGTAACTCTGTCCGCTGGCAGGCTGGCCTTCTTCAGCTCTTCGGGTGCATAATCAAATTTTATCTCTAAAGGTTGGTGCTTGGATTAAACAAAAACAAAAAAAAAGGAATTAAAACAAAACTCAAAATTCAAATCAATCAACAAAAAAATCGGCAAATGTCTAAACTTATTCGTATGTGCCCAAATGTTTCATGGTCTCTGGGGTGATAAGAGGTGGTAAGAATACAATACCAATACCAATACTATATTTGTATGTCTCTCCTACCATTTGCAATGTCTAAACGGTGAGTGTTTTGAATACAATTTTACCTCTACTAATCACAAAATTTAATTACTTGTACTAAGATAAGGTCACACACTAACCCAAAAGCAGAAACAACAACAACTACTGCTACTGCAACAAGTGCAACAGTGAGACAAGAACAACAATAAAAACAAGAATAACTGCAACAAATAATTCTGATGAATACTATCGTATTATCTATAAATGTAGACAAATCTGAATCCACGCATATATATTGTATATGCCTAGTACTTCTTCCTTTCAACCAAGCCATACTCACAACACTTACGCCCCCTCCCCCTCCTCAAAATAGTATGCCCCATTATGCATAAGAGAGATTTCCCTTCCAATCGAACTTAAGTTTCTCCGAGTAATCCCCGAGTCTCCCGTCTCCATACAGGTGCCACTGTACTGGGTGCCCACTTCGGACCACCCTTCCAGGCCTACAGGGCAGCACCGCCGCCGTCTCACACGCCGCTCCTGGCCACGCCCCGAAACCACCACGCCCACCACCATCACCATCATGCGTCCACCTTCTATCCGCCACCGCTCGTCTACTGGCCCTACCCGAGCCCGCCCGTCTCGCCCACCACCTACTACAGCCAACCGGCAGCGCACTCGCCCTCGCAGCCTCTGGTGAGTGAAATCTACAGTACAGATACGGTCCCATATCTACATATATACACCGAAGAATACAAATTTGAATTCCTTTTCAGTACCCGCTCGACTTCTTCCCCCCATCACCGCTCTCACCGCCTAGCGTGGCCATTCCGCATACCAGCGCCGGCCTGATACTCACGACAACCAAGGCCGCCGTGTCCTTTGTGCCACCAAAACAGTTCTCTCCAACGACCACGGCCAGTGGCAGAAAGCTGTCCATTCCGATGCTAGGCTATGCTAGTCCGAGTACCAGCCAGCTCGGAGCTTCACCAGAGACTACCTTGAACGGAACCGGAGCGATGTCCTCTCCTACGGCCTCACCAACGGCTTCCGCTACTGGATCTACATTGACGTCGTCGTCGACGCTGCTTAGCATTGACATAAATCATGCCACGTCGACGTCCACGTCTATTCCCACACCATCGCCAGCGCCCATGCTGAAGACCAGCAGCCAGGGGGCGACGGGAGCTGCTTCCACGGCTCTAGTGAGCAACTCCTGCGTAGAGCTTTTCATATCATAGGCTCTCTATGGCTTACGTCCACACGTTTTTAGCAAAGCTTTTGTCTTGCCATTCGAAGAAACATGTCTGTAGTCTAGTTTAGAACCAAATCCGCGTTAGCCGAGTCGAATGGCGAAAGTGGTGAAAGCGGCGAGAGAACGCCGGAACTCCCGAAGTTCGAAAGTCGGACTTTACTGCCCGGAAGGAACAACGATGGAAGGAATCTCGCCGCCGTCTCCTGAATTTCTAAATACTATGTTATATTACCTTATCCGCTAGTGCTAAGTAGGTAGAACGCCCAGTGCAATTAGTGCAATTCAAGATTTTATTTATTCAAGCTGCTGCCCTATATCCAAATATACAATTATTAGCCAATTAGAAAAAGACGAAACCAGAAGAGCAGAAGCAGATAGCAAAAAGCAGATCGAAAAGCAAATACGACAAATTTATCCCTAGTCAATAGTCAAATTATTTATACAATTATCTATTTTTAGCTACATGTTAATGTTATTGAAATTTTGACACGAGTACACCTGCAAAAGTCCGTCGAGCTCAGATGCTGAAGCGATTTTCCATGTTGAGTCCTTACGCTAGAACATATTGTTATTCTTCTGTTATTCTAGACGGAATACCGAATCCAGAACGTAACCGAAGCGACCGTTTCAGATCTGATTTGTTTGTTACACCATTCTCAATGAAAAGATATTATCAATTGTTTATAAAAATATACAGATAAATAACTACGAGCATAAATATATGTAACATATCTCCCAATTGTACGACTTTAAATAGGCAAAATCATAAAAATTCTGGGTTTCCAACCCCATAAAGTATATATATTCTTGATCAGCATCAATAGCCGAGTCGATTGAGCCCTGTCTGTCTGTCCGTCCCTATTAGCGCCTAGTGCTCAAAGACTATAAGAGCTAGAGCAACGATCTTTTGGATCCAGACTTCTTTGATTATTTCAAAATGAAAACAAATGTGAATATTTCAAAACTTCGCCCCGCCCACTTCCGCTCCGCAAAGGACGAAAATCTGGGGATGTTCACAAATCTCAGAGACTATTAACGCTAGAGTAACCAAATTTGTATAAATGTAGAGTTGCGGTCTCCGCATCAAGTCACAACGTCCCCCCTCGTTTTAATTTGTTTTTACGCTATATCTCGGCGGAACAGCGGCATTCCTTCTCCTGATCGGATGTGTTATTAACTAAAATTATGTTTTTATTTATGGGCCGATCTGGCCGTTGCATGTCTTTTCCTGATCGGGAGAGTCCTGCCAACCGTTTGGATGTGCTATTCACGCCATGGCCTGACTAATTTAAATCATTAGAGCATTCTACTACTAAGTATTAAAAAATAACAACAACAATTGGTTAGGTTTCAATATAAAATCATTTATTTCATTAATTGTGAATAAGTGCAATTGTGAAATTGTGAATCAATTAGTTCCACTATCGGTAGGCGACATTATAAATAGCAGATGCGGCGACAACATCCGATATGGCGGTATCATAAATAATACAATACGAGCACTGGGGCGCGACGATGATGATAAATCGCTGACAAATGGCGTTACAAACGGACGAAAGTCCCACCGACCAGTTTAAGAGACACGGTCGTTGTGAACCATCGTCCGGTCGCACCGTACCATTACCGTTGCACATTTAAAATAGATTAAAAGTCGCCGCAGGTGGGACTGCTGGATTGCCGGCAGGAAGGGAGCAAGAGGGCTAGTTCTATGCAGAATCATTTGCTGCAGGTGCCATCTACATCCTTTTCTTGCTCACATGATAATTTATCAACGGCTGGCGCCGCTGCATTGGCCATCCAATAGACCTCCTCCTGGTCGGGGAGGATCCGGATCCATTCAAAAGTGCATTAGGCGTGCTTCTGCTGACAAGTCAGCCTGCGAACAAGAGAAGTAAATGAAAAACTGTTGGTTAATGCGCTGAGGGGCAGATGAAAATATGAGAGAGCGAGTTGCAGTCGCAGTCTCTGGGGGCAAGCATTTTTACGACCGCACACTTGACTAGGCACAGCGCACTGCACTTCCTCTAATGGCACGGAAATGGCCGTATAAATCTCATTTGTAATCGTAGAGCCGAAAAAACTATCGCTAGACAACGCCCCAAGTAGGCAGCCATAATAGAGACGCCGCGTAGAGAAATGGCTGCCTGCAAGAGTTGTAAAACTTTTCGGTGCTGCCACTCGAAACTAAGTCAATAAAAAATGTCCTCGCTCCCATCCCCATTCCATCCAATCCACAGCCAGTGCAACGGGAATGCAATAACAGGGCGGAGAATTGGCGTCGGCATATTTTCGGCAGCCGAGTTAGCAACGACTGCTGTCACCGCCACATCCAGGAAGTTGGGCGAAGGACCTCTTCCGCTTTGGTATTAAGCCATCGAAACTTTTATTGATTTAGGAATTTCATTGCGTTCCAGCGAGCATTTCAGTTGACAACGCCAGTTCCAGCGCCAGCATCAGAGCCGAAACAAAATCCACTTTCCATTGCGACCGCTGGCTCACTGTGAGCGAAAATTTAAGCCCTTATTCTTGGTGTCCTCTGAAACTGCCTTAAAACCTTGCCCGACTCCATCTACAAACAACACCGAACTCAACACCTGCACGGCAATTTTTTGACCAAATATTTACCGAGAGACATCCTGCCGTAGACTTGCTCTTCGTAGCCAATTGTTGGTCCTGTCTCTGTCCCTGGTCCTGAGTCTGTCTTCGCTTGTTGTCCTCTGCTGCTACAAAAAATCAATTTCAAGCACATTACCAGCCTGCCAACTTGATTTTATTATTTACTCGTATTTTCTGTTTGACAGATTCGCTTGGCTGCCCTCAAAATTTCAAGCGTACTTACTCACATTCGCTCCAGAGTTGGGCTAGAGATAGGGACTACTTGGGCTAAGATTGCGACTGGGACTGAACCTGGAAGTGTGGAGGGGCTTTAAAATTGCCCAAGGGGGGCACACAAGTAAAATGACTGCAGTGCGCCGTTTGCAAAGCGAAGGGCGAAGGCAGTCAGAGGAGATAAATCGAAATAATAAGAAAGAACAAGCTGGGAGGAAAAAGTCCATGAAATCCATGTGTTTGCTCACAAATCTTGGGCAAATAAACCTAGGAGAAGCTCGGTCTCGGGGCGGGACCGGAATCAGGAGAGACCGGGCGTGAGACGGAGGGTAGTGCGCCAAGATTTAACGTTTTCATTAGAGATTGTCTGTCTCAGAATCCTTTGCCTCGAGATCCTGCAACTTTAGCTTATTTTATAAACTATTTTAGGCAATTGATTGTGCGCGAGTGTATCTCTGTGTAAGAGAGCACATGAGTCAGTAAAAACGTTTGTTTGAGGTTGTGTTTTCTGAGTATCTGCGAGTGCTAAAAGGTGGCGGCAAACTGATATCTGCCCCAGTGTGCCCCGTGTCCTCCGTGGTCTCCGTGTTCCCTGTACTCCTTGGGCTCCCTGTGTTCTGTGTTTTTCTTTTCCACTTTCCTCTTGGCTCTTACACGATTTCATTTACTTTGTATAACACAAAGCCTAAGCACTCTATACGGGCGTGCATGTGTATGAGTGTGAGAACTCCAAGCAGTATGTGTATCTGTGTATCTGTGTCTCGGAGGCAATGAAGTGCATTTGAAGCACACTTGATGCACGTACAGCACGCAGCGCCTTTTTAGACGTATTGTAAATGACTGCAGTGGGCGGGGACCGGGCGTGAGAGGACAGCGCGGTTCGTTAGTTTGACACTCACACCCACGCACACAGAGATACAAAACCGCACGGACGGATGGACAGGCAGACAGACAGACCCGTACGACCGACAGATATACAGATATAGCATCGGGGCAGACAGGAAGTGTGTGGGCGGGCTGTGCATGTGGGCGTCTGTTTGATAAGTGGCTGTTTTTTTTTTTCTTTTGCCCCCTCAGCTGTTTTCTATTTTCTCTCTCCCACTTCTGATGGGGCTGTAGCTTTCCTCTTTTCCCTGGCTTTCGCCTCCGCTCGCTGACACTACGTCATCTTCTCCTACAACCATCCTTCACACTCTCCTGCAACGGGGGACCGGGCCACTAATGAAATTGTTAATTTTTGTCGGCAAAGTCACGTACACGATGTGTTGATGACGCTGAAGAGCCGTCGACGCTGATGCTTTTGGCAATTGGCACGGGCCACCTTCCAAGGAAGAAGGTTGACCCCTGACCCAAGAGAGGTTCTGGGGCGGCTGGCACTCATAAGTCAAATGGCCCTTGTAGTTTTTACCGCTTCGGCTGTTCTTGGAATCGGTTCTGCTGCTCCTTCTGCTCGATCTGCTGCCTCCTGCCGATGGTTTTCCCTCAACGATTTGCTGGTCTGGCATATTTATGAGCAACAGTATTCCATTAGCATTCGATTACTGCCAGTTGCGAGTCGAAAATCGAATATCCCTAAACATTCGAGTGATTTGTATGTTGCTGCACTGTCTGCCACACACACTCGAACACACACCGACTGACACAGAAATGATGTGGTATGGTGCGGTGCGGTGCACGTGCAACATACAATACAATACATAAAGGACATCAACAGCCAAAAAGCGAAAAGTCGCATTGCAGCAATTTCTGTTACGCTTGCCAACTGCTGCCAAAAAGAAGGTCGATCCTGTGTGCTTGTGCTTGTGCTGCCCATTAATACCGTTTACCCTTCTCGGGCCATCTCGGATCTGGATCCCTGGCACGTAGCCCAAGCTTCTTGCCCCTGCCAAAGGCATTGCGATTGTTGTTCGTGTTGCCGTTTCCGCTGTCCATATACGTATTACGTGTACGCCAAGTGGCTCGCTGGCTGCTTGCCTGACTGCGCCCTGTCGCTTCCGTCCGCCCGGTCCTTCTCCCATCTACCATCTCCGTTTGGCTTGGAACAGCTCGGTTCGGTTCGTTTCAGTTCAGCTCAGTGCAGCTGACTTCGGGGATAGCCATTTCGGAGGGCTTCTCGTATTGAATTTTATTCAAGTTTTTGCCCGCTTTCTTTGCCACTTTTTTTGTATTTGTTATATTGTGTTTTGTGTTGTTCGCTTTTGGCATTGTGCGCTTATGTGCAGTGCACAAGTGCAGAACGAAACAAAACTGAAGGCGCTATGTGGCCAGGCAGCCTTTCCTCCTCGCCTGCTGTGCTTTGCCGTGCGGTTTCTGCTATTTCTCCCACTTTGCATAAATTAGAATGCATGAAATTTCTTTGCAGAACCCACCAGTGCCCGTGCCGCGCCTTTACTCGGCAAGCAGCAGCAGCAACCACAGCACTAACAACAACAATAACAGCAACAACAGCAATTAAGCGAGATTTGGAGCATATGAGGGAGCTGAATTTCCATTTTTATACTAGATCCTAGCTTCTTGCCAACAAGGATTATTTGTCCCTTGGATTGCCCCCAGTTGGGGGTCCTGCACCTTCTTCTACTCCTGCTCATGGTCGTTGTCGTAACCATCATTGTCATTGCTTGTCGCTTTTTCAATTTGCAGTCCGTACAAGCTGTTACTTCTGTCGCTGCTGCTGCTCCTTTTCCCATTAGATTTGTTAATCTTTGCTCCGAACCCAATGCCCCTCCTCATCCTCTTGCTGCCACTGGAACTGCCAAAGCCACGTTGCGTATGCGTAATCTGTTTAAATGCACAATAAATAATGGAAAAATTGCATATAGGAAAATTTACATAAAAAGCCAAGCCGGAAAAATGTGCGATACACCATGCACACACACACACACATATCGCTGGGGAGCAGTATGCGGCACGTATTTTTTGGGGGCAATCATGAGCATGCCATAATGCTTGTGACCACGACTATTAAATCAACACGCGGCGCCAGGACTAAAGCATTGGCGCAAATGGCAACCCAACACAATGCCTCTTCCACATACACATACGCTTGGGCAGTGGCAGGGGGCAGTATGTGCGTTCTTTTGCTCTGAAAATATATATTTCACATGATTTATTATTATTTCGTGCGGTTGTTCTTTTTTCTCGCTATATTCTGCTATTATTTAAATTTTAAATAGCTGTAAAGTGCACACAGGCACATGCAAATAGGGGCACACACACCCACTAAAATGTGCTTCAGCTGGCTACCAATTCGGTGGCGGTGGTAGCCATTACAACGGCCTGGCTCCCTTTTCAGCTGTTGTTGTTGCTTTTTTTTCTACGTTTTTGTTGTTGCTGTTGTGTCATTATTATTATCGTTCATTGTTTGCTGGCATGTTGTTTCACTCCCTGTTGTTGTTTTTGGCAGCCATTTTGCGGTAAATAGAGTCGTTTAAATGCATACACAGACTGCACTCTTCCTGGCCTGAACCGACCTCATCTCCAGCCTCAGCCCCGAACTAGCGAGATTTTATAATAACATTCATAATGCAACGTTTGCATGTCATTCGCAACTGAAACTGCCACAGCCGCTGTGCCCCACACACACAAACACACACACACCGGAGTGAAGACACGCAAATGTAGTTCCAGCACAGCACACAGCACACTTTCCGGGGCACTCGCTCTCATAATAATGCAATAAAAGCAATGCACGACAGAGCTAATGGAATCAGCCAAATCTGAGGGATTTAATAAACTATGCAAAATCAGGAAAAGAAGGAGAGGCAGAGAGGGAGGGACGCTTTCCGCTTCCTCCTTCTGCTTTCGGGCTCATGACATGTCACGACGATGTGTGTGTGTCTAGGGCGCTTAGCGGATTTTGTGACAAGGCGACTGGCAGCAGCCACTGCTGTCGCCTGTCCGTCTTTGCTTCTCTTGGGCTTCTCTTCCCCACCCCCCGCTAATTCTGCTTAATGTACACTTCCTTAGAGCCCCTTCCCCTACTGTACTTCCAACGCCAAACCAATCATTTATGTTGTTGAGCTGTATCGATTTTCCAGCAAAAGACAAAAGTTATTAGCGCTTGAACAACACTTAATGGACTGGGAACACTGGGCATACGGGGCACACGAGGCAGGGAAAATTGAAAAATTCCACTCTGGCTACGATTGAGCGTGCAACAGTTGGGAGCGAACCATAACAAATTCCAGGGGATTTGATTAAACCCCCCCCCCCCCACGACACGGGAGAGTGTCCAATGTCAGCGTATACTCGAGGTGGCATGGCAGCTGCCGCTTCAGCTAGCCACCGAAAGAGGAGCGCAGATCCGAAGAAAAGCACGAACATTTTGATTCCAGCACGCTTCGCAGGATGTGCTCGGAGTATTCTACTGTATGCAGATGGGAAGATTCATGAAGATGGGTTTGGAGTTGGGTGCAGCTGGAGAACTGGGGCCTGGGGCTCCACAATAGCTGACATTCTGCAGTTTGGCCCATAGGCATGGGGCAGGGACAGAAGCAGGGTTAGGGGCAGGGCAAACAAAAAAACATAAAAACTAGAATGGCAAAATAAAACAAATATAAATTTATTGCCTGGAATTTATGACAATTCTCTGGCGCTGCTTGTGCCCTTGCCCCGTTGCACTTGGGTCTGGTTGCATGTGGCGCAGTAAGCTCTTGGAATGGTAAATAAAATGTTTTGAAATTTTTAGCAGAACGAATTTCACGAAAGAACAGACTTTATGGCGGCCACGTGTAAGGAAAGTGACACGAATATTGACTGCACATTTCCCGCAGGACACCTCTAGTCAGAGAGAGAGATGCCTGCCCCATAATTATCAACCAATCGCTGGACTAACGTGCTTTTCCCATCCCATGTCCCATTTCCATTCCCTCAGCCACTGAGATTTGGCCCTGGA